CGATTGTACGTGACAAAAAGTAATTTAAAAACAAAATTATGTGAGTCCGACAATCATATCACATTTTATGCGAAATGAAACATTTTTAAAACGGTGATCACTAATGGTTTCTTCTGCAATTTCGCAAGCGCATATTACAAGCGCCGCGGGCTTAATTATTTTAATACGTTATTGACTTCATGCACATATACGTTAAAAGTCAAATTTATAGATGTTTACGAATATTTATAAAGTTTCAGTATAATTTGCACTCCTCTGATGATCATTTAAGAAACTCGATATCTGAAACTCGCGAATCAGGCCAGTGCGAATTTTTCATGGGTACTGATCGACTTTCGATGGAGCCGAGAAGCTCTTTGATGAGTATTATTATCGGATAACAGAGCAGGCTGTCGCCCCTAGCGACGACATTTTGCTCTTCGTCAGGGGGGCCATTGTCACTTTCGAAGGTTGCGTCGATAAGCAACATATGAAAATTCTTGCTTGGGCTATTGGTTTTTATCGAGGAAGTTCAACTGTACATTCGATGTTCTTATCAGTCGCCCGCGCTGGTGTCTGCTTGCCGAGCACGAACTCGACTTTTCTACTAGTTAAGGGGCATAAAGAACACACACGATGGTCTGTCCTGTCGGAAAATTCAAAAGTCATCGAAAGGAAATCAAATCCCCACGATACGAAATAAAGATATAAAAGCTGCAAAATGTCGAGTCAACATTTCAACCTATTATGTTCTAAACGAATATCTTTTTGCCTCGCTCGATAAAATTTTCTCGATGCCCCATAAGTACGGGGCATACGGAAAAACAGGAACTTCAATGATATTTTCTCACCGGCCTTTGTGTTCCTGAAATTGCATGACATTCTTTGGAAGTTCGTCGGATAATATTGTGTACACGCCCTGACTATTTACGCCAAAAAGAAAATAGAAGAAAGAGGGAAAGAAGTACGTTGGCTCGGACGAAAACAGTTTTTCGCCGGAAGGAAAAATTTATTCAAAGCGGAGAAACCGTAGAGTGAAGCAATTAACAATATACCTCGAGCGACATTAAAGGAGCATCGTTTTATTCGACAAGCTAATAAGAGCGTAAAACAACACTTTGCTCGAAGCCCTTTGGCCTCTTTTAAAGCGAAGAAAATAATTAAATAAAAAATATAAAAATAAATAACGGCAAAATTCACGGCAAAAGATCGGATCGTATCCAACAGTGAAAAATCTTTATGTGGATGGATTTAATTACGCGAATCTCAGGATCTTGATTACAATGGCTGTATAAAATGGAAAATCAAAATTAATTTAAAACGAATACTAAATCCGTAATTTTCGAAATCCGAAGAAAAAGTTTTCGCCCACTCTAGTCAACGGTATGCGATTTCGCATTTAAATCGCGTATGCTGCCTTATTAAAATACGTACGGAGCAACGCTGATAAGAGAGTCAGCGATGAAAGTTTTAATCATTTCACTCGGGCAATACGTTTACAGCACACTTTCCTGAAAACGCTCTTACTAATTCTGAGACCAAGGTGAAGCGCTTTATGGCCAACCTTTCGCGCAAATGAAATCCTCAAGGAACGACGTTGAACACGAGCCTATATGTATGTATAATATGTAATACTTGTACGCTCGACGATAAGTACGTCAAGCAAGATTTTTCTCTAAATGATTTGATTTTGTTAATGCCAAAAGAAAAGAACAAGTATCATAGAAACCGTTTCTATTTAATCACTAATTTTTAGACGCGTTAACATCGTTAACATGAGATATCAAATATAAATCGAGACAAAATAAAAGTATCTAAAAAAAAACCGAGTTGCGCTAATATTTTTGCAAAATAACGAAAGAACCAGAAGTATAAAAAATAGAATGCATCGTTCAGTCAGCCGTGATGTTTTAGTTTATTTGTTTATACACGAATGCTATATTATGTACTTGCTTACACATATAAATTTTAGCTATATCATCGTAAAAATTCGTAGTTTTACAACTGTGTATTCGGACTGGAATTTTATAGAAGATTCAATCACGACTTACGTGCGCAAGTATCGTTAAAATTTTATGAGGATTAAAACGGATTTCATGCGAAAGTGATGAAATGTGTGTCCTAAACTTCTTAGCCGCTCGCTCGCGCTTACTTTTACCGCTAGGTAAATAATAGCCGAGTGCGTGGGATTGGTTCACCGTTCACGTTTGCCGCAAATCGTAATCCGGAATTCCCGCGACTACGATCGTGAGGCAAATTATCACTGTCACATTGTCAGGCCGATTTAACACAGCAAATTAGCCGGTCGCTAAGCGTTGTCGCGAATTTACATGGCATTCGTGACTATTGTCCTTAGACGCAACGTATCAAAATGGACTTTTCGAATACAATATAACTAAGTTTATTTTTAAATAGCATAATTTATAATAGTATATTTTACAAGGAGGCCACACACGCAACTGTTTTCTTCACTTTTTATCAACATGTATAATACGAATAAAAATCATATATGTAGGTTTTTAATAATATGCTCTTATTACTCATGAAACTGTCCCTTAAAAAAACCAACTTTATGTTTCTGAGTATATACGTATACTGTTAAAACAGTAAGATATAAAAAATGTTTTAAACAGGAATGGTTTCAAAGGCAATTTAGAAAAATGTACATTTTTTTTTTATCTTTCACCATCAACAATTACAATTTTTGAATTTAAAATTTTTTATGACAATTAAAACTTAGTTAAAGACAGATTCGATTGTAAAAAATTTTAAATTACCTAGAGCAATAATAAGTATATGTGGTGGAAATTTTATGTATGTTTTTTCGAAAAATTTGTAAATGTACCTTCATAAAATGTCATGCATGGAAACCATAAAACTTTTATTGAGTATATATTCTTTCGTATCTCTTATTATATCTGTCCTAATGGTATATGCTTGGAAACATAAAAATCGATTTTTTTCAAGGAGGCATTTCATCTCCTTCACCTATACATGAACAACACTACCTATTGAAAAATATGTGTCGCTTATTTTAATTTTTTTAATATATACTAAAACACACACATACATATCCAAATCTCGTTAGAATCGGAAAAGAGAGAGATTTTCAAACAAATATTATATAAAGAATAATTTCTAAAGAAAGATAAATTTTAAAACTTTCATACATCCTATATGCATGAGAAAAAATTTACAATTCAAATTTTAATTTTTGTAATAAAAAATTTTTACCTAACATTTAATACTAAATATCATTTACTTTTTATTCTATTTGTCATTTTCTTGTCCGAGATTGAGCACAAAAGGGGAGCGCTCTAATATACCAAAAATGCCTATTCCAGGCGCATATGTAAACTAGGCACTTGGCCGCGTGCAGGACGTTAATTGGAAGCGGGAAAAAGCGATTGCACGAGTGTTCGCGCGACAAGCAAAATGAGAGAAGTCAAGTGCTTTTAAAAACACGTCCCGCAAGAAAATTCGATTAAAATGATGATTTGTTAATCGAGTCTCGGATTCAGATAAGCCAGTAATTCTTCTCAAGAAAAAGAGAGAAGGTGAGAGGGAGGGAGAGGAGGGGAGAAAGAAAGAGAGAGTATATTTCACATTTGGCGATAAACTAAAGCCTCCTTAAAACACGAAAATCATATTTTACTTTAGCAAATAATTATAAAAGTAGAAAAATTAGAAAGAAATAAAATAAAACGCTCTTTTTGCAGCTTAATTTGGCGCAGTTGCGATATATAGATTATACACGAATCAGAAAAAAATAATAAAGCTGAGGCAGAAAGGAAGCAGCAAGACACAGTTAATTGCACCATCATTATTCTATAGTACAATTAATTGTCGTAAATACAAAAAATATTTGCCACATAATACATTGCATTAAGTTAAAATAATTATTTTTTCAGTCGAGCGTACGAAACGAATCGAAAGCGACCGAATTTATTGTTACAACGCACCTGGCTCAATAATAATAATAGTAAATCAATTAATAACGAATCATAATAATAAATAGATTAATAACAAATCACAATAATAATAATAATAAATCGATTAATGATATTAGTAAGCTGCCAGTGAAATTAACGGTGTATTCAGTAAATCCGATTTTCGACGCTCAGATACCAAGAAACGTAAGATTAATTGTAATAATTGGAACAGCGTTATGCAATTGTATGAGTTAACTCCGCAAGTAGCGATTTTAATTAAATTAGTGTTTCGCGTTGCCGATTCACTTACGTATCTGGTTTCTGAAGGGTTTCTGGGTTAACTCTAATGTTTGCATAACGGCGACCAATGCGCCACCGAAATACCATCTCAATGACGAATTTAGTACCCTACTCATAGAACTGTTTGTAATGACAATGACTTATTTGCCGGACTGGTTGGAACCATTAGAAAGCGATTTTATGAAATAAATTACGATATCGAATTTATCCTGTCGGCTACGTTAATCGTATATTTTGATTATCGCGATTCGTCTTGGTGCATTTACGACCTCGCGCGATCTGGATTCATCAAAATCATATCAGCATCAATATCCACTGATAATTTTTGTTACGATGATGAAGTAGAGCCCGCTGCGAGTACAATTCGATTTACCGAGATTATTTCCCGCAGGCGGGATTCTCGGCGTCGTTCCCATCGAACGTCTCTGCAGGACGGCATGTTTACCACCCCCGCTCGAGAAAAAGAAAGAACGAGACGGTCGTGGAGGGATAAAGAGAGAAAGTGAGACGGGGATGAGAGCGAGGACGAAACTGAGAGAGGGAGAAAGAGAAAGAGAGAAGAGGGGTCGACATAAACACGAGGGGTTGCGAAAAGTGCCAACTAGGTTACCCATAACAACCCTCAGTAGGGCACGAATCGACATTACACAAGTTCAGTCGTCAAAGCTTGTTCCGCGCGCACTTTTCTCGCGTCGTCTCTCACCCGTCGCCTTCGCGTCTCCGCGCGAGGAACGAGGAGCGAGATGACGACCGAACGCGGCGAAAGGGTTAAGTCTCTGATGTACTCACCCTTGGTGCGAGATGCGCCGGACAATAACAACAACTAGACAACTGGCAGACGAGAGAGCGGACGATCACCAGTACCGGCACTAGCACGACCACCAGCGCACCATCCACGCCGACGGTGCCGACGGCGCCGACGGTGACGGTGCGGGTAACAACGGGGTGGGATTTTATAACCTTGCGCGGCCCGCCGTGCAAGCGAGACCGGAGGACATTTCCGCGACTTGGAGGAGCGGCCACGACGAGGACGAGGCGCAGTCCTTCTCTCTTTTTCTAGACTCTCGCCCGTCGGCTCCGAGATCCGGCGATTCGAGATCCGCGTATAGGAATCCGCGCACCAGGAGGAGCGCGTTCCGGAACGAGTCGCCGAGGAGTCCCCGCGATCGCGATCCGCGGCTAGGTGATCCCCGAGGGAGAAAACGCTCTCGAGCGCCGCGACGCGCTCGTCGACGACGGCGACGGCGACGGCGACGACGACGGCGAGGAGCGCACGGCGAGTAGACGAGAACAACCCTCTCGCGCTGCTACCACCACCGACACCGCCCTCGCGTCTCCACGCCACGGCATCGGGCGCGGCGGAAGCGCGCCGTCGCGACGCCGACGCCGCCTCGCGAATACGCAAGCGCCGCGGCGCCGGAGGTGGCCTCCTGGTCGCCGCATGTGTACACATACGTCTTCCTGCGCGCGGGTTAGGTCCACTTCGGACTGCGATAACAGCCGACAGGGTGCGACGGTTTACTCTTGCCTTAGATAAGGGACAGCCACCCCATTTCAGCCCGCGAACGGTATCTCGTGAAACTCTGAATTTCGTCAACCGCGTTGCATTTCGCGTTCCTAATACATTCCTTATATGACCGACGCGTTGCTGGGCTGCAAGAAATTTTGGAATCAATCTCTGATGGGAGATTTATTGTGAGCCTTTTTAACATTTTGTCTTTTGCAACTGACTGCACCTTCCCTCGGAAATATGACCTGACATTAGTGTATAAATTATTCCCATAGAAAACAGGCGGACCGAAAGAAAATTTATTCCGCCGCTTAAAACTTAATTAAAATAAATTGAATTAGAGATTAATTTAAAAGTTTCCCTTCTTTACTTAATAATGCACTTTTCGTGACTTTTTTAAGATTCTTTTATAAGACAAAAGGAAGAGATGAAAGATAGATAATCCTTACAAAAAAAAAAACTACAAAAAGACTACTGCCGTTACAGTATTACTATATATAGTTTTGTGTACTTTTTTGCAACTACAGTAGTTTTTTCCAAGGGAAAATAGTAAAAAAACTTCTTATATACGTAAAAAAACTTAATTATTTAACCCTTTGAGTGCCACACCATTTTCCTCGAGTGGTCCTAAAATACCCAAAACGAAAGATTCTCGAAAATTAATGAAAGTTTATAAAGGACAGTATTCATAGTCGGTTCTTACATTTAGGATCATCTTAAGTACAATCTTAAGATGTCTTGAACCAATCACAGAGCCGTTAGCATTCTTAAGACATTACTTAAGATAGTCGTGAAATCAGAACGGACTATGAATACCGGCCATAGAGAGGTTTTTGATGATGCTGATGACAAATTTCAAGTCAATTCAAAGTCAAATTAAAAAAAATTTTTGTCATAAACCTTTATGACAGCTTTTGTCATAAAACTGTTTATATATTTTTTTCAAATATGACTTTAACGTTATGTTTAGCACATCCAAAAACTCCTAAATGTACCTTGTGTTTCAGTCATTAATTCATTATAAAACTTCATATAACAAAATATCTCGTGACGAGAATCTTCGAAAGTTTTTATTTTTCTGGTAACATATCCTTTTTCTAAAGCAACATTGTATAAATCAGACTCGAAAATCATGTAGCATACCCAAAAGCCTCTAGTTATAATTTGGTGATAAAATCACTTAGCGGCTGTATGTAATTATAATAAAATATTTCATGACGAGAAAATGCATTTTCGCGGCATTAAATGCAATGTTCAACATAATGAGAATTCTCGTCATCAGCAGTCAAAGGATTAAAAGAACAATTCAAGTAAGAAAACAATAAAAAGAATAAAAAAATTGTTAAACCAAATCCTCTTCTCTCTCTCTCTCTCTCTCTCTCTCTCTCTCTCTCTCTCTCTCTCTCTCTCTCTCTCTCTCTCTCCTTCTTCAAAGATTATGAATTTATAACTTTGTAACATCCGATTTCTCAGTCTATATATTTTAATGTCGAAGTTAACGTTTATACTCAAAGTTATTTTTCGAGAAACTTGTGCCAACTTATTATGAGAATCAAATCTTTCATGTTATTGTAAACGAGATTTTTATTAATGCTTTTGCAACTAATTAAGAAAATCAAAGAGAAAAATTAAAAGAAAGGAGAAAATCCATGTTTGTTTTAATCTTTCATATTAGTGTTTAATATGGAAGACGGTGTCTTCCATAAAATTCTGTCTTAAGACAAAATCAGACTTCTTTATAAAAAATTTTGTGTCGTAAATTGTGGATTAGTAATTCTACAATGAAAATTGACGGTAAAAATATCGACTTTAAGGAATTAGAAAATATACCGATTATATTACAAGAATGTTAAACATGTGATTCTTATGACTCCTTTATAGTTATTGATGACAATATAATATAAAATCAAATTAATACAAAATAAAAAAAAGCATTATACATATACCGTATAAGCACCATTAGATTTTCGAAATTTTTGATACTTAATCCGAAACAATTATTTGATAAGTAAATCCACTTTTGCATAAGATCATACATAATGTTTCACACGCTTAACAATCTTGACGTTCTTCATCTAATTTTTGCATTCAGTTTTTTTACATTCTCTACCTAATTTTTTCTCGAAAAAATTCGTTTTTACTTCAAAGTTTAATCGAAAGGTGACATGCAACCTGTCAAATCGTGCGATTAATCGAATAAGTATCGAAAAGCCAACACAGTGAAACACCCATGTATACGCAAATCCAGAATTTGTCAGATTTCTTTGTAACAGATGATATCGTCATCTTGTTTTTACGAATTCACGATCTGATATTCTTCACGTTAAACGAGAGCACAAACTCGAGAGGCCACACGAAGAACTCTTTCTCTCTCTCTCTTGCCAGACAATGCAGATTCAATTAAAAGTCCCCTCTCGATGTGAAAACTTTTCCAATCAAACTGATACGTGCTGGCGCGCCCTTTTTCGCCCACAGAATTTTTTCCCAGGACCAGGACCCTAACGCAATCGGATAGTAATTATGTCGATATCAATTTAACAGTTTTCGACTTTCGTTTGCTTCGCTTCGCGGAATAATTGAGAACCAACTCCAACAGCACGAGGTCTGCTCGTCCAAAGCAGATCAGATAGAACGATGTTTATCGAATTTCCATAGTTTCCTCTTTCCAATATGTCAATTTTATCGCAAAAACAAATGAGTTCTAACATAAACGCATTGTATTGAATAGCAATTGTCTGTTAAACCTCTTTCTGCACAGCATATAACATTACACGATGAGGTATTCGACAAAATTTATAAGCTTTTCTGTTTTATTTTGCGATGTATGTATTTATACACGTACTTTGTGGCATTATTTCTCAATTATAATGTTATTGGAAATTCGACTAACAGCAAAAGAACAACGTGAAAAGTCTTTTGCCGTGCTGAGAGATAAAACGCCGAGTGGGAGATTTCGCGATACCTAAAATCGATAATTCCAGACAGGCATTCTATGGCAAAACTACACGATGCATTTCCTCGGCCTCATGTAAGCCAAAATGTACTTGGCTCCGCGTTCGTGCTAAATGTACGAGTATGTCCGCGCCTTTAAAGACTCCAACTTTTCCGCAGAAAGTTTCTTTCTCCGCGAAAACTTTCCCGGAAATGTGCGAGAAGTAGAATCGCCGTTCCGGAGAGTGTGCTCGCAGAACGATGCGACGCCGACGACGCCCGCGCCCGTACGAGCGCATTAAGTCGCAACTCTTCTCGGATTTTTCGCGATTTCCGTTTCCCGGGAATATTAACGAAATCGCGCGCGATTTTTTCCCGTAGCGATTCGATGAATTTAATTTCAAAAATGCCGCAGCGCGCTCAAGTCGGACTTTTGGGCTTTTCACATTATGAGAGGGAAAAAAAATTCCCGTTGGCAAATGCTTCCTTTTCATTTCCTACTGTACGATTTTTTTGGTGAAACCTCCAGTCTTTCTTTTTTTTTCCTTCTCATGCCTACTGCCGCTTTAATGTCCATGGTCCCTGAGTTCGTTTCCACGGCAGCCCGCGGCGATAGATCAAACTGTTTAACTCGCTCGAAAGGTTTGCGGAGCTAGTACGGAGTTTGGACGGTTTTCTCCTTTTTCTTTCTTCGCAATACAGTGTATCGGGAACGATGTATGCCGGTCCGACGATGTGTTAATTAGCCCGCGAAAAAATGTCTGCTTATTTGTAAGAGTGTGTCTGGCACATATACGGTAATGTCTGTGTATATTATATACTCTTTCAATGTTCATTATGTATATCAAATAATTATTAAATATGTTCTTTTTTTTTGTATACATATATATAAGAAGTTATAAGTTAATATCTCAGAAATTCGGAAAAATTCTTAATGACGATATACCATTATTGTAAATTACTCGGATTTATAAAACAAATGTTTAAAGGATATTTTAAGATTACTTTTAAGAAGTGTATTTTTATCGTCTTAATGTTCGTTATACAATTATGTAAAATGGCATGTATTAATAAATAAATCTCAAGATAATCTTAAAAAATCGAAAAAATAACGCCACTTTCAAACATTATCTATATTTCATAAAAATTATGCACTTTTTCATACCATTAGGTTGCCATCAGTTGTTTTTGCAATATTTGATTGATGAAATATTAATTTATAACGAATTACGTGACTCGCTTCGTCTATTAATAGAAAAATGTTACATAAATTGCATTAAAATGGCTATTTAGTGAAGTTAATGGTCATTCGCTAATTTATTTTATTGTCTTTCGCTCTTCCATTATTGATTTTCAATAATATATTTTTTGCAAAAATAAGTCAGTTCGAGAAAGTAAATACATAAATCGTCTCTTGTTAATCGATCGTTCCGAGCACCTACCCTATTTCTCCGAAAAGATAGTTGATATGCCGACTGTGTCGTTGATGTTGCTTAAAATTTAAGGAAGTAACGGAGAACCGTCGTAAAGTCGAGCTGGATCTACGCAGGAACGCGTGATAAATTGGCTTATCAGACAGACGTGGACTGACACGACGTATCTATCAGGCGAACACATTTAACATTGAATTTGTCGACGTTGGACGTAAAACGTATGTACAAGTGCATGCATAAAAATGCATGAACTTACTTCGCCGTGTGAAACATTCCCTACATCGTGAGACATATATGTGATTCTGTTATTCTCGCGCGGTTCCTGTCGAAACAATTTCGAAATATTTTCCGCGTTTCACAGTTTTATTCTCGAATAAAATTGCGTATATAAATTTGTTAACGAAAACAGCTACGTTTACGACGCACAGCGAACGAAAGACCGATTCGATTTCGTTAAAGAAGAAAAAAACCAGAGGATGGAAGCGTCGATTGGAGTGACAAGTCCCGCAGGATTTTCGCCGGCGGAGCGTGAAGTTGTCTTGGAGGTCCTGGAGGAATGTGCGGACTCATTGGCAGTTTACCAAAATACCTTGCGACAACAATCGGCGACAAGAGACGACGCCACTAATATTTTTTCCAATGTTGAGTACGTCGGGCGGGGTACAGCGCGATAAAACGCGACTACATTATGACGCGCCTGTCTTTGTATATATCTATCCGCAGGATTTCGGAAACGTCTATTCTACAGACGCTCACCGGAGGCGCAGCGGGTATGACGGATTCACGGAGGGAAGCTGCGCGTGAAAAGCTTCGACGAGACAGGTTGGAATGTATTTAGTTTGTCCATAAGCCTGTCTGAAAGACTGACATATTCGTGGCAGTGGTGGTTCAGCCAATAAACCATTCAATAACAATGAAGCCTCAAAACGAAATTAATTATGTAATTAATAAATTAACACCCCTGTTTTCTCAAGAAATAAAATTATGAGTGACAAGCAATTTCTTCTTTTATTCATGTATTACAACATTATAGTATCAGATTTAAATCGTGTAAGCATTTAAAATATTATGGTAATAACAATCGCTGTTTTTTATTATTTTTTATGTGGTTCGTTTCAAATAATTATTATACGTGCTATTTTGTAATTAAACATAATTTTGCGCGTATTTGTTATTGAAATATGGACCTATTTTTTATATTTAAATCTGCATCCATTGGTTTTGATTGAGCCAAATAAAAAATTTTATTTGGTTCAATTTATAAATCGTACTTAATAATCATGAAATACAAATATAATAAAGTTTCAACATTGACTGAGAAATTTGCATTGGCTTGTTTGCCAATATGCAAATCTAATGAGTAAAACTCGATTATAAACATTCCCGTTCACATTCCGATATTAACTCTTTTACATCCAATTATTTTTAGAAGAGAAATGTATTAAATTGAATTATTTTTCAAAGTTTTTGTAATCGCAGAATATAAAAATAAAATCAAAACATAAAAATTGAAAATGATGAATCCAATATAATGAATGCAAAAATAAATATCTTCAAAGTCTAAATAAAAGTTTACATAGAAATATTTTCATTGTCAAGATTATATTTATAAAACAAAATGCATGTTGAGATAAGAACGTAATAAGGGTTAAACATTTTTGACCTACAATCTATATCACATCCATCAGTATTGATCAATAGCTCAAACCGCTACATTTTTTAGCATTGAAATGGAGACTCGTGAGTTTTATATAATAAAAATATTATTGTAAATTCGTATTAGAATCTATTGAAATTTGTATCAGAATTGTGTTTGAGATATTATTACAACATGAAAATTACATTGCGTATACAACGTTAAATCTTTTATAATATGATAGTCCAATAAAAATCATATTTTACTAAGCAATAATTTTTTTACATTTTAATATCAGTATTTATAAAAAAACAATATATTTTTTGGTTAAAGTTTAAAAGCAATCCCCTTTTAAATTAGCTCTATTTGACTTTATAAATTACTCAGTACTTGCCAGAGATATAATTTTTTAAACATGCTAAAAAATATATATCCTCCTAAATGTGCAAAAATTAAAGATTATATCGTTTATACGTTGCAGTTTATATGTTAGCGGTATAATACGAGACTTGAAGCGAGAAATTAACGAACACGGAACCATCGAGGTATTAACCAAGGAGATCGAAAAAATCACGTCGCAGGAAGAACAGGAGCAGCTTGTAATAGAAGAAAATAAAAGGATGCGGACGATCGTGGTAGAGTTACGAAAAGCGATTGCCGATAAGAAAACAGCGCACGAGAAGGAGGAGGAGCGTTTAACGAAGAAGCTCACTTTAACACGGGTAAATGTTTCGTAAGCTGCGGAAGGTTTACAAATGTATGTACGGCGTAACGGCGATAAATCATCAAATTTTACTGTTTAACCGTTATTTGTTGTGTGCGTAAGTAGAGCCACGTTGAAAACGAAACTTGTTGGCAAAATGTTTAGGACGAGAAGGAGAGGCTGAAACTAATTAAGGACGCGGAGATGAAATATGTCCGAGTGTGGGAAGCGGCACGTCGGGAGCAGTACGTGCTGCGTTACGAGTTGGATTTGGACGAATTGAAAAAGACTTTGAATGATCATTGCGTGCGCGTGAGGAACGAAAATCACGTGAATGATGTATTGACGCGTTATCTGACGCGGCGTATAGCGGTGAGCGCAAACTCCTTCCTATAAACTTCTCTCGCTTAAAACGAACAAAAATGTCTCGTAGACAGCTCGTACTTAAATAGTTAAGACTTAAAAGGGTCCGGCATTAAAATGAAGACGCTTAAGCGGTCCCGTAAGTTCTTCAGCGAAAAAGCTTTAAAAGGTTGTTGAAAAATGTACTTCGAGATCGGAGCTTTTTATGACTTTTTTTTACAGTGGATATGTTAACACAAATTCGGCGCTTTTGCCGGATGCTCGCGAGCAACTTGCGCGAAATCAATTTCGTCAAATTTAAGACGAGTTGGCAAAGATGCCCCGGTAAGGATAACAAAAATATTTACTTTGAATTTGCAGCTCGTCGAGAATCGGATCGAGCAATGGCGGCAGAGATACGATCGGGAGAAGAAAATGTACGAGGAGGAGATCCGCAAAGTACGCAATGAGATCGAAGATGCTCGAAAATACTTGGAGGAACTTACAACGGAGGTATAATGACTCGAGAACTGTGCGACATGACAGTGCGAGAAATATTTTTATTTCATTCACGCGGTAGGTACGCGGTGCGAGCGCAGTAATTCAATTTGCATTCCGCCGCTGATTACTCTGACCACCACCACTGTGAATCTTAATTGCCGGATAAAGAGGATCCCAGTCGGCGTAACAAGCACAATCACTATCTTATTTCGCATTCTCTGTGTGACTGTCTGATTTACTACGTCACGTTTCGCCTATTGGCAATCAAGCTCAGATAACTTGGCCCGGGTGAGTTTAAAGGGCGCGCCGAAGTTTCGTTGGGGTAATCGATAATTCGCGTCAAGTACGTGTCCGCCGAGACTCAGAAATGTCTTGATGATCGTTATTAATAGCCGAAATCTCCTCGAATTCCAAGCTCCTGAGAACCTTTCACATGTTCCGGAGACCGGTTTATGTACATTTGAGTGAGAACTAAACCATTGACCGGAAGTTTGCGGATTAATTTCCCTTAGCTTAGGTATCTACATATATAGAGATGTGGCAGAATTCATAACACAAAAATGCCCTGTTCAAACACGCAGAAAATATTTTCTATATTTTTGAGTTATCTTTCACGGTTATATTAGAATTCTGTCGATGTTGTATATTAATTTCTATTAGTATACTGACAGATTAAGATTATTATCAAATTAATATAGAACAATTATTGTAGTAATTTTAAAGAATTAACTTTTTCTTCAAATCATAAGTTCCTCATAAAATTTCGCAAATTTTAATCATTGACAAAAAATCAGATTATTTAAATGATATTATATATACATTACGTCCAATTTTTAAATCTATTTAACGTCCTGCAATAAAATTTGTTCCGAACATAAAATGCCCGACCTTCTATAGCAGAATTTAGCCTCCACTTTTTAATCACACGTCCGTATATAACAAACAAGATTGAACCTTCCCTTATTGCTCATGAAGATACACGATCGCGTAAAGCCCCAATGAATCTCGTATAAGACACACTTATTACCGAGAAAGACATCGGAGTCCGGTAAAATATGTCGCGGTAAACTCGCGTTGAAGCTGGATACGGAACGGTGTTTGTTGCAGTATCGCAATAACCAGGAATTCATCGACACGTACCTCGCGGAGCAGGAGGCGCTCCGAAGACAAAAGGAGCACGAGGATCATGTACAGCGTAGCACAATCAAGATGCAAGCCTGGTGGCGGGGCGTCATGGTGCGCCGGAAGCTGGGGCCGTATCGACCTGAGGAGAAAAAGAAGAAGAAGCCCGTTAAAACAAAGAAATAACTCTCTTCCCCCTTTCGCCCGGTACTCTTAAATTACTAACGTAATTGCGTCGATATCGTGATTCGTTCAACCTGATTGGGCGAACGACTCTATTAATCTGTCAGTGATCTAACCGAGGTCACGGCTGTTTATAATTGATCTACTATCGTGCCCTAGTAATTTGAATCTCGAAACGCGCACCGGGCGAACATCGAGTGAAGCGCGTCAAAATTATTTTGATTCGTTCACCCAATTCAGATTTGAGAGAAATCAAAGAGGCAGAGTTTGCGCGGTGATTTCGTGCAGATTATTTACCTTCCTTCATAGAAAAAATATTGATTCTACTTATCGAAATTAAATTAACGAGCGACGGAAAGATCAGTAATAAATTTTTCTTTTACTTTCCTCCGGCTCACTTTGTATAATTCTCGAGATTGACATAAGGAGAGAACGTAACGCTGCAAGGTCATTCGAAAATACGAAAATCGTGAGAACATGAAGGAAGCGCGCCGTGGAATCGGCGCGGTGTTACGATAGCAGAGATTCCGCGAATTGCCGAATGCCAATTCGTGCCCCCTTCGTGATATAAAATATACACATGTACACACATATACGTATACATATATATACACACACAGGCGTGCAGGGGTCGAGTATTGTTCACGCAAGAATCTCATTTCCCGTGCAGCACTTCCTAGATTCTGCAGCGGGTTTCTGAAACACTATACATGAAACGCGCGGGCGTAATAATTGACGCGGGGGCCTATACGCGGCACGAACGCCACGCGCGCGTCTACGCGTAAAACGTGACTTACTTACACGACGCATTTTTTTATTGTTTGTTTAAAGGCGCGTTGAAAATAAGCTATTTTGTATACAGGATGTCTTACTTAATCTCGCGCATTTTTTTAACGATATGATCGTTGATCAATTTGGTCGATCTCATCTCAGCGAAAATGTCAAGAAAGATCACTCTCGCAATTTTAGTGTCTTATATTATTTTCTTCGACTAAACTTCAAATCCGAATTTTATTAAAATAAATTTTATGTAAAGTTAAATAATGTAATTTTTCGCTTGTTTTCGGTGCATCGACAATTTTCGTAAAGCAAAATTGTCTCCAAAGAATCTGTCGTTAAAAGAATAACGCGAGAAGTAGAGCGCACTCTGTATACCCTGCTAATATAAAAATATTTTAAAACGGGGCACATACCAACGCCAACATCACGTTATACGTTTACAAAATGTTCGTATTTTTATTTCGTTATAATTCGGCTAGTTGAGAATGCCATTAGAGCGAGAATTCAATAATTTCTTAGAATAATTTTAATAATTCGTAACACGTGTATTTTCAGGCAAAATTACCTCGTGTATTTTTAGGATAAATGTATTCTCCGAGTATCTCTTTTTACGCGGGTTTATTCATACAACTCTGCATAAATTTTCAAATTTATCCTGTCTATTGAAAATGTCTGGCTGCTCTATGCAGCACTTTTGGCGAGAGGATTAGCAGACACACGATGCAGTACTAGCAGCTAATAAACTTTGAATATTTTAACTTTACTAGCGTGCTTATAGCTGGCGATGAGGAAGGCAAATTAGTTTAGCGTGACATCCTCAAGTACACCATACATTTTAACTACTACATCGTGCTAATATATATACCAGATATCAAAAAAGCACCGTGTGAACTGCACTTAAGAAACGCGCCGTTGCATCGCGACTCGTGTGTAAATGCATGTGCAATTACCATAGCCGCAATGACGGTTAATTCCGATGTAAAAGTCGTAATTTTAATTATTTTCGCTTTTCATAGCACGCTCGCGGACGGTTTTTCGCGGCATAAATCTATCGATCGCAACTCGTGATTCCTAAGGAAAAATAGAAATACACAGTTGCACAATTGCAATTTTTGTATAGGTTTTAAACTGTGATCAGATATTTACGTTACAAGAGAACCCGATATTAAAATACGTACGCGTTAAGTATGCATATATATCTCGCAGATTGGAAAATCCTCACCCTCCAAGAAACTAATGAAACACGTGTCGATTGAAGAGCACTTTCATGAATATAAGAAAGCAAGATATATATATTATCATTCTATACACATATCGAGTCAATCGTGTTACGTTCTCTTTTCATAAGGCAATCTTTTAGCGAGAAAAATGAAAAATCGTCGGTCCATTTTCGAGCGATTTTTCGGGACGTTCGTGTTCTAAATAAAACATAACGTGGAAATCGATCGATCTTTACCCTTTGCCACTGTTCGCGCCATATGCTTCTGGGCAGTTTTATTTTTACGGGACAGTTTACCGAGGCAGCCCCCCCCCCGCGCGGAGGGAAGAAAAGGGAGAGAGAGAGAGAGAGAGAGAGAGAGAGAGGAAGGAAAGTTTTAATCCGGTGAAGTTGGAAAATTTAAGGCGACAGGGACGTATATGAAGTGAAAGCGGTCCCTGTGCGACCGTTGTTTCCCGTTGTCGGTGGCGTAAGCTCGGCGTTAACCGCGAGTACCGCGACGCCGTTGTGCATTTTCCCTCGTGAGAAATTCACGAGGTTACCCAACGTACCAGCCCGTCTCCCGTAAAACGAAAGCATGCAAGCAAGCTTACGCCCGGTGCGGCGCGGCGTGATCGTGCGGCCAGCCACCTCCTTAGATTACGATATAAGGAATGGGTAACGCGATGTGGCGCGGTGCACGCACGTGATAGCGCGCGCCCCGCTGGCTGTATGTGCAATTGCCTCGCTGACCCAGCTTTCGCCTACATCGATAAGATGCGCTTAAAATGAGGCTGACCGCGAGAAACATTGGCCGGAAACCCCCGAGCAAAATTCTATTATGTACGACGCCCACGTATTTCCGTCATTTCGGAAAGTGCCACATATGTAATTGCAAATGGAAAAAAAAACGCGATAAGAAAGCTAATACGCGGTTGACTTGACGCAAACAACAAATGGTGTTTAATCGTGAATCAATCGAGCTATCCGATGACCGGACAGCTCTTTATTAACGATAAACTCACGCTTCGATTAAAAATTGAGACTATTCTCAGCAAATAGGTCGAAGTGTAACAAGGTCAAAGTAAATAAAATCAGTCGAAAATATTTAAGTTAGGCCAGTTTATAAATTCTTTCCTTCATGCATAACGATGTTAGTTAAAACAATCGAAAACAAATCATTTTATAAGTAGTAACTCTTATTGCCTAATTCTTGTATTCGAAATACGAAATAATCTCATTATTTTGGGAGATTTATCCAAAATACGGATTGTAAATCGTACAACTTCATTTAAGTTTGTTTTGTGATACTATACACAAAATAAATGCTTAAAATTTAAAATTATGATAAAACTATTTCATTAAATTATTACATCAATTTAAATAATAGTGTAAATCACTAATATTATAATAGTTTCAGATTTTAACGTTAAACTTAAATAATTTATATCGTAAAAAGACATATACGTTATTTCGAGACGATAAGAGAGTATAAATATAATGAGTTTTTAATAATCCTCACCACAATTTTATTACGTTTATTACGTTATTATTTTAGACGTGTTCGCATGGCGTACTACCGTACTAGATTAGATACTGATCAAGCATTCAGACAATCCTCTCGAATCTGTGTGAGAGAAACTCCCGTTTACCAGTGATTGGCAGAACGCGTAGAGCGAGCTGAGCTTCGATAATCAGATGGAAATACCGAACTCTGGATGTATTCGCTCGATTAAAGCACATCGATGCGCTGATGCATCGAGCAAATAGACTGAATATCGTTGTGTGTGTGTGTGTGTGTGTGTGTGGCATTAATAAAACTTCGTTCATAAATCGAAAACTAAATCAATTTTACGACTATATATATACAGATTTCGAAGAATTTTTCAATCAATTTTCATTCATTGACCTTTTAGTAAATATATTAAAAATTCGTAAATATTCATTACATCGACAACGATTCGGAACATTTTTATTCATTAAAATGGTTTGGATTTCTCGCAAAGCGCCATAAAATTATATTATATACACATATAATACATACATTGATGATACCTTACGATTCAGTGGAAATCGACCAAAAACTGTAGAATTCTCAAATTTGCAGAATTCCTGCATATAAAACTTCAAGAATTACGAAAAGCGTACATACGTACTGCAAGATAAAAACTGAAAAGTACTATACGACGTTAGTTACGACTCGGAGCTCGGACTGGGCTCGGAGTACGCTCGGATCGGACATATCTAAACGTCGCCGAGCGCCGAACGGTCGACAGGAGAAACTACAGAGACCTCTCTCGGAGGTCAACAAAAATTGTTGATCAACAAGCAACGCTAAATTTATGAATGATAATGAAGTTAACTACGAGTCCGTCATATTTATTTCACATTTTTGAGAACGAAATTGTAAAATTCACTCATCTGTAGTGCGCATTCAAGCTATATAAGAAGTAAATTTAAAAACTTTTAACGAGTAAATATTATTTCTCCGAAACGTAGCAAGATTAAAAAAGATATTGTATAGATCCACACACACTATATAATATTACATCTAAACATCTTTTATTCAATATTAAAAATATTAAATCTTTTTCACTTGTTCCACACTGCAGATTTTCGACACTTGAAATTTTTTACATCTAGATATTATTTTTGTGTTCAACGATCTCAAAAACGCGATACAATAATTTTATTACAATTTGAAAATATTTTATTCTCTATACCGTATTTTCCGTGACAGATTATTCAAACCTGCATATTCTATCGGCGGCACATTCAATATCCAATAGAAGAATGTACTTACTAGAGACCCTAGCTACGTCACGCTCCCTAGAAAATGGATTGTCCTATTGGATGTCGATGGTCGCGTACCTCAGATGGCGAACACGATCCCTAAATTCCTCATGACATCTAGCCGTAAACACGGGCGACCCTGGGAGAGGGATGGGGGAGTGGTGAAGGGACGATCTTCGTAGTAGCTCGTCGCACACATGGGAAACGCTTTTACCACCTGAGCCGGACGGGCGCTAGGAATGGCGCCAATGCGCCGCCATTTTCATGAAACTTTACCGTGACCGTAAATCGAAGACTGTTGACGGGGAAGAATTCCAGCGGACGCCACGCGCCCGTCGGTGGAACGTCGAAAAAAATCGCGAGAAAGGCGAGAATAATGCGCTGGTCGTAAGTATAACGTCCCGTCCCGACCCGGTAAAGTCGGCTAGTTTTTTTTTCGGGCACGTAACACAGGGCCTATGGCATGGACTTCCGTCGCATGAAACAGGAACAGGAAGTTCCTCGCGACCCCGAGACGGCGAAATAAAAACATCCTGTAGCGGTGCGAAGATTCCGCGAAGTAAACGCGGATACGTCGCGGGGCGGGAATCGAACGTGTCTGGCCGCGCGCGTGCCCTTCCGTCGGCGCGAGCACGTTATTTTTACGGCCCACTTTTGGATACCGCTGGCCCAAGGTCGCGCGGCAGTGATTAAGTCGCCCGAAAATTAATCGCCCGCAGCTGACGCCGATCGTTCGGAAAGATCCGCGGTGGTCGTCACAGTTATGGATAATATGATTTTAGAGCCCACTTGCACGAAGGGGACTGAGCTGGATAATCAAGAATGCAATCTGTGCAAGAGAGCATATGTGCCAACGATATCGAAGGCTTGGACGCGGATACCCTCATACCCGTGAGTATCTCTCTAACGTGTCAAAGATGTACAAAGAATGCGCTGTCTAATCTTACGCGAAGCCACTCTTGATATCTAATGGTCGTGCAATTGTCACCAGGTGGGACTCTTGGCTTGCGATGTCTCCTCTCACTCGAGACCGCAAGATGCCTCGACTATGGTGGAACTTGGAAAGCAGCTTCTACATAGCGCAAAGAATGGTGACACCGAGGCTGTCCGTGAGCTCATGTGTAGGGGCGCACCATTTACAACAGATTGGGTAAGTGGTTTGAGCATCTAAAAGGTTATTCTTTATAGATTTTTATCTGGAAGAATTGACATATATGTGCTTGTTGTTTAGCTTGGCACAAGTGCGCTCCATCTCGCCGCACAGAACAATCACATAGAGACTGCTGAAGTTTTACTTCGAGCAGGAATATCGAGGGACGCTAGGACAAAAGTCGATAGAACTCCCTTACACATGGCAGCGTACGAAGGCCATCATCAGATGGTACAATTGCTGCTTAACTATGGAGCTGATGTCAATAGCAGAGACATGGTACGATATCGAAATATGGATTTATTGATTTCTCGTGCAAGATGACTAACGTAGAAAATGATTTTAGCTGAAGATGACTCCACTGCATTGGGCAGTAGAACGTGAACACGTGGATGTAATGCACATACTATTAGATCACGGAGCTGATACAGATGTAACTAGTAAATTTGAGAAAACTCCAATCAGTCTTGCATTAGAGCATGATAGGTTAGACTTAGTGGACATATTACAACAGGAAAGAGTGCTAATGGGTATTCAACAGAATCAGATTAATTCTACAGAATTAGAAGTAGCCACGAATAATTTAGTACAATTAGAGACGGAGAATAATAGCAAAAGTTCGATAATACAGGAGGAGGAACAACAAAAGTTTCAAATAACACAGCAGCAACAATCTCAGCGTAAACGTAAACTTTCTCAAGGTAATTTATATGTCGCAACATATTTCTCCGTGCGAGTGTTTTACTCTTTGTACTTTGAATTCTATTTTGTGTATCTATTTATAATTTCTAGCGCAAATTGAAAAGAAACAAAAACTGATCTTTCAACAAATTTCTGTATCGCCAAACAACACAGATGGCGAACAGGAAAAAGAAATTGAAGATGTTGAGATGATTAATGCAAATAATATTATAAATAGTAAGAAACATAAAGATATTATGTCGATAGGCAAGCAGTTTAGGTTATTAGAAGCACATGGGATCAGAATGATACCCGTAGATGATGATCCATCTATTGTAGAAAAAGCAATGGAAAGTGGGAGAACGGTAGTTTTAACAGGTTCGCTTTTTATATATGTATTTAAAATGATTTAAAAGTTATTAATTTCAGAATGTATTATTCTAAGATGTATGTAATTACAGAAGCTGGAAAAATTGCTTTGAATTTGACGAAAGGTACGCCAATTAAACGCCTTCAAGTCGCTTCGCGGAAGGGAACGTCAAGAAAACTTGTAACAATTAGAGCAGATCAACTTCAATCAAAAATCTTAAATCCAAATTCTAATACGTCTACCACTACGTCACGGAGTCCAAATATTTTGAAAAAGTCTGCTGTTGATAACAAAGCAACGAAATTATTGGTTGCAACGGTTTCTAACACTCCAACAGCATCTACTGTCACTGAAATCAAGAATTCCGTTTCGACAAAAGAAGTAAGATTACTTAGATATTTTAGATATAAAATATAAATTGATAATAGACAAGCAAATATAAATAAACCATATATTTTGATGTTTCAGAAAGTTACGAGTTCCCCGGCAAAGGTTACAGAATCAACAATTTTACAATTAGGCGATGATGTTGAAGAAATTACTGAAGATGATAATCCAGAAAACAGCGAGCCAGTAACGGATATAGCGGTATTAAGTAGACAATTGGCAGAAGCGCGAAGACAAGCCGCCGAATATCGTAAGCAATTGCAAGAAAAAGAGAAGGAAGCGGAAATATATAAACAACAACTCAAGAACATCACAGCGCAAATAGCATCTAAGTAATTTTGTACAGTTATAGATTTCATATTCGGTTTCACCATTTGCAAATCGGATTTCTTTTTTATATCAAAAGACTATTGATTTTTTACATATATTTGATTGATAACCTTTGATTTTTTTACATATATTTTTACAATGTATTAAAATCTTCTCAATCCTCTTTTTGTATCTGAATTTTCACAGATGCTAGATAACAATTTTCATTACTAACACCGAGGTTTTGTAATGAATACCTATAAGAAACTGAAAGTTCCCTACATACTTACAAGATATTTAGCAATGTTTATAAACTTATTTCCTACTTTAATATGCATGAGCTCTATTTCTTTTAGTATGTGCAAATGTTATAAAAGAGAAATAAATAAATAAGTATTTTAGTAAGATTGAGGATAAATTACGGCCAGACGTGTGAAATTTGCGAATATATGAATCATTTTGCTTTCCACACAATGTATCAATATGTTTTTCAAATAATTCATATATACATATATACATAAAATGTGTGAGACACTATAACTTAAATTATCTTTCATATTTTAGAAGAAAAATATTTCAAATAAATATTAAAGAAGTTGCTTCATTTTTTTAAAGAAACATCATTTAAATAGATAAAGATGCTTCCAAATTATAAATTTGATAAAGTGTTGTAACTTTGTTTGATAACTTTGTTATTAGTTACAACAATTTCTCGTTGTTATTACAACAAATAGATTTTTTCAAAATATTTTAACTTTCTAATATAATAGATAATGATAGATTTATTAAAATTTAAGATATAGGATTTATTAGAATTTAGAATTAGATTTAAATTGTTCCAATTGCTACAACTTTTTTTTTTGTCTTTTTCTCTACTTTTTTTCCACCTGAAATAAGAAACAAAGATAATCTAAGTTATAAAATTAAGTGTCTCATTCTGTATATCAGGTTTAATCACAAATAACTTCCCAAATATATAAATTTATTCTTTTCTAAATTTTTATTTTGATTTAATCTGATTAATCTGATTAAAAAATTATTAGAATGATTGATTTGTTTATGGAAAGATACGATTCTGATATTTGTTGTTTATGTTGAAAGTATATAACTCAACTCAATATATATCTTGAGCTCATTTGTACAAGATAAATGTTTGCAAGAATTTGTAAAATATAGTAAACATAAGTCTTGCTTCTTCTTTGTAATAAGTGTACATATAAATTAATTTTTTGCATAAAAATAATTGTAGGCAATTGTGATTTTTCCTTGATTACTCATAATAATATTTAAATGAGAATGTTGATTGTTAGGTGCTCTCTAACATTTGACATTCTTCGTTCAACAAGTTAGTCATTTCTTTCGTGCAAGTATACGGTTATTAAATAGCGATGAAGAAGGTGCGCAGAGCATAGCGCAAAGATTATAATGTCGTTGGAGTTTATAAGCCATTTAGAGAATTTTATACATATTGTACTTTCATATCTTTACCATAAATTATGCTCCTACATAATTTATGAGTTGTTACAGATTGTCAGACATCGAGATGAAAAATATAAAACGTCTTTGAAGTTGTTGAATCAAATACGAAGTCTATGTATAATGAATTCTACAATCACGATTAACATCAGAATTGTATATTGTCGATGTACCGGACAAATAAATTTGCTTGCGCCTGTAAATAGAAAGCATAATGTGGAAAGCAAATCAATTCGAGAAGCTCCTAACGGTGTGTAATTAAAAATGTGCTTAACATATAATTTCGCATAGTCTACTCAACTGTACACGACATCGCTTCACATACCTTTTAGTTTAATACGAAGCGTTTGCATTCCAAGTATTTTTGCAACAGCTACGTGGTAGCTATGATTTTTCGACGATAAATCGACGAAGATGTGCGAACAAAAATTAAAAATATTAAGTATCTACCGTATTTAGTCGATGCTAGAATATTTGACCAATTTAATCTAATCTAAAGAATCTGTTATCGAACGAGATGTGAAACGGTGAGAGTGTATGACAAAAGGATACGATATAGAAAGTGGTTGACCTCAGGTACAAAAAAAAAGAATATGCATTGTATAAAACGCTAAAGTTGTGGAATGCAACGGTCTATACTTAGAATATAATTTTTCTAGAATAAGAATTTTCTAGCAATGTACATTGTAAATATAAATTTATACATAGTTGCAATATGAGTTCCCGAAACGGATTACATTTCACCTTTCAACTTTCCAATCAACCCCACATAGAGGGTGTGACAATATCTGGGGCTTGAGCAATTTGCTATCATGTTCTGTTAGAAGATTTATTACATTTCTATTGACAAAAATCGTAGCAAACATTTTCGCAAAATCTGTCTTCAACGGATTTGGCTATTCGATTGCATTTGTATTTTAGCCCAGATTATTTTTCTTACAAGAAACATTCCCGGTGGCCCACGGGAACATTTTCCTCGCGGTCGATTCGAACGATTTCCAATAGCGGCATTTCGAATAAAAGCATATCGCAAAAGCTCGATTCGCGCGATTAACCATCGCTCTTGTCCGCGCGTTTTTACTTTTGTCCGTCGGCCTATATGGATCAAGAGATTCATTTCAAGCTGCATTGACGGCCCAACGGAGAATTGCCTATTGTTGCTCACGTATGTGCAGATATACACGGCATTTTTGCAGCCCCGGCGCGATATCGATCGCGGCGGAAGATTCGTTCGCGTCGCCTTGTGCACTTTCTACACTTACCTGTACTTTTCCCATTTTTCGCCTCTCTCTCTCTTCCAGTCCTCGCTCTCCCGCGCCGTTGTTTCGAAAGGCAAAAGGCGAGAACCACGTTAGTCTCAAGTGCAGATAGTGTAGAAGACAAGTATGTATGTACAGACTATTCCACAAAAAACTGTACGCGGTTTACCATCATCTGCACAGTTGGCGTCACTCGATAGCATCATTTGCTTTATAATGTTGGAAAACTTGCAATATGCAATATTTTTTTAAATCTACTTTTATGTACTAGAGTCCTTTTTTTCCGGGATTGTATATTCTCAACATACTGCCGTACATTTTATTGTGAAACGGACCGTACGTACAAGGCGACATCTCGCTGAGCTCGATGCTGCAGCCACGCGAAAACGATCATCTCTACGCTCGTCGTCCTTATATGTTGAAAAGTAGGCGACGATTGGCGCAAAACGCATATCCTACGGTGTCCTATACACGGCACGGCGGATTCGATTCATCGAAATGGAAACGCTCGCGGCCAACTTCGACGCGACGTTGCGGGCGCATTTCCAGTTCCAGAGCGGTGTCGTTCTCCCGCCTCGGGATGTCGGACTTTCGACGATCGATCGAATCGTCGCGCCCATGCTGGGCGTCCTCGGGATAATTCTCGGGGGTGGGTAACGCGCGCCAAATCAATAAATAACTTAACCCATTGACACACCTATCATGCGGTCCTTGCCGGAAGCCGAATTTCTCTCGAGAAGACGGAACCGAAGACGAGAATCCTCTTATTCCGTCGCGATCTTTCCGCGCGCGAATTCGTTTTAGGACGCGTTCGATTTCCGCGACGCGGATATTCGGCGGGCACGTTCTCCCGACGTGGATCGATCGCGAAACTCGACCGAATGGTAACGCCGCTGCACGAGCTCTCGTTTCAAAAAACAGTTAGCGTCCCTTTAAGCGACGCGTATATATTGTACTATCTCAAGATTATATATATATATATATATATATCAATATATGAGTCGATTATGCGCACAATTATTACCAGAGAAAGTCGGCATAATTTTTATTGAATTTCGCCAGATTTGATTCTCTGCGTAAACAATGGAAGAATTGTTCTACACGCTGATCGTTGCGAGATGAACGAAGAAACACCTCGGATCGTTTTCGTACTTTCGACATCGAAATCTTTATACCCTCACCGAGTATATATTTTGTAATTCTGGATGCCAGTTTCGCATTTTTCTTGGGTACAGAAATTTTCTCGGAGACAAAAATAACGTCCGCGATAACGATCGGCGTATCGTAGCTGAATATCAGACATAATCCGCCCGGAGGATTATGGAGCTTCTGTTTGCGGCTAGCTTATTCGCTCTCGAAGCATATTGTTGAAGGCTGATGGTCGCTGGGGCCTGCACACAGGCACGTATAGCATGAAACTGCACTACGAGCAGTATACGAGGCGGCGGCAGCGGCGGTTTTATGGATACAAATATATCACGCGAGCGTTGTACGTTGTGCATACAGCGGGGCGGCTTGGTTACTTGAAAGTTGCGATCACCTTAAGAGTTAAATTTGAAAGAAGCGTGCGCTCTCGAGAGCGATCAGGCCTCGCGTCCTCCCTCTTTTTGTCGGCAGGACCGTACGCGAATCCGGGGGTCCGTGGAGATGCCCTGCGATTATTCTCTACTCAGGAATAAGATTACAGAAAAGTTTATTTCTCACGACATACGCGAAGAGAAAATATATAGTGTAGTATAAATTAAATAAAATATATATTTTTTAATAGCACACATTTTGTAAACCTGGACTATAACGACATAGTATTTATTATTTATAATGTACTATGAAAAGTGATAATTATATGTATATTTTTGCTAATTATTATTCGTCATGCACATTGTAAAAAACTGTATAGGTGATTTTTAAATTATGCTAGATACATAAAAACATATATGTATGTATATAACAACGCTAATCAGTCCATTTTTCTGTTACATTAAAATTATTGTATTAAGATTATAATTTCCTTCTTTAGCGGAATTTGAGTGTTTTTCAAGTGTTAAATTGTACATCATAATATTTAAATAATTACAATAGTTCGTCGCAGACACCCGGCGATTTAGGTACTGCCCTGCGACGCGGTGCTCATGCTTTCTACAATGTCGCGAACTGCGCAGATACGTCATCGAGCGAGAGCGTCGTTCGGCGGAGCGAACGTGTGGGACACCACACGCAGCTTATTATTTTAATCTGCAAGTTTTCGCGCTCTTTCTGAGCGGCCCCCGTTTTCGACGGCGACACGTGAGCTAGCTTGCCGTGACGACGAAAATGATTCGTCGATGCGAGATGCGAGCCGAACGAACATTGGCTTTATACGTGATTAGGAAGATAATAACAGAGAAAGGGAAAGAGAGCAAGAGAGAGCAAGAGAGAAAGAGATGTTCTCGTGGACGCGGCTTAAAGACTGCCAGGTACGATCAGGAGCGGATCGAATCGACCGAGGATCCTTGTGTTCATTACAAAATGACAATAAAGAGCTGAATTACATTCGTTGCATATTTTTATTCGTCTGCGTTTCTGTGATAAATTGAAGGCTAAATATATTCAGCGGTTGGACTTTTCGGTTTTACTTTACAAAAATATGTATTCTTAGATATTTTTATTTGAGAATTATCCTTCGATTCATTCTATTCATGAAATAATCGTGAAGATAATGTTCTTCCGTGGAAATGGCTGATTTTATCTAAATTCTATTATTGGCTTTCTTCATGCGTTAATTTGATAGAAAAATTGCTCTTTGAACTTTTCGGTTTTATTTTACACAAAAGCACATTTTCTTAGATATTTTTATTTTTGAGAATTATACCCTTCGACTTATTCTATCCATAAAACATTCGTGAAGATAATGTTCTTCCGTGGAAATGGCTGATTTTATCTAAATTCTATTATTGGCTTTCTTCATGCGTTAATTTGATGGAAAAATTGCTCTTTGAAAAGTTTCTCTTTAAAAGATGTAGGAGAAAGTACCGAGGAATTTTCTTTGGAGCACACGCAAAATCAAATAAAGATGCACCAACGATCGACTATTTTTTTTTAATTGATAACAGCCACGCCGCGCGTATGCGGCGTATGAATGTACGACTAATTGTTTTATAAATATTAAATATTAAATTAAACAATGTCACAATAAAAAGTTGAATAATTTTCACGTTTATTTAGAATAAGTTTACCAAGTTTCATGGTATTTAATTAAATAATTGCTGATTATTTACCCCGAATTCAATTCGTTCGCGTTCGATACTTACAAATGAGCGATCCAAACCACGATTACCTCAATTTGTGCAATTATATAACTTGTCAAGCAATACCTAATAATAAAATTTTACAAACGCAACGAACGGATAAAATTATCAAGTTTTTGTTGCACAGCTAAAAATTTTGTCATAAGCAATTATCTCGGATCGATTGGATCAATCGCCGATTAAATAAATCCAAATTTGGTTCCGAAGTCATCTCGGAAGACACATTTACTTTTCGCGACTGCCGTCCGCTGGACACGGCCCTGGCGCAGTAATGCGTCCGTCGTTCGTCGTCTAGGTTGAGAACCCCCGGAGTGTTTCCAATCCCGAAGGCGATGTCCAGTGCTGCGTTTCGTCGTCGTCGCGGTGGTCGTTTCTGCGCCGCTGTGCAGTACCCGGTGACTCGGCGATCGCGGCGTCACGCGTACGTTCGTCTAGGACGGCGAGCGTCTCGGCCCCGCGTATAACTACGTAGCGGAACTGTCCCCCGTGGCCCGTGCATCGCACGGCGCACAAGGCTCGCGTCGCGCGCGGTATTTGCCTCGGTTCGCGGATTACGTGCACGATCCTTGACTAACGTCGTGTCGCCGACACACGACGTGCGTGCGTACCGCGTACGTAGGTACATATACGTGCGTGCGCGCGCTCTCGGCATTGACGAAGCGAGAACGCCGAGAGAACATCGAGCGTGCCTGTGTGTGCGTGCGTGTGAAAGAGACAAAAACGGAAGGACGAAAGGGAAGGAGATGGAGACAACGCGCGTAGAATCGTCGTAGCGCGCGATGTGTTTGTGCCCGTGACTTACGAAAAAAAAAGAATAGGTGCGAAGAGGAAGGAGGGAACGGAAGGGGAGGACGGGAGTGCGCGAGACTCGATATAAAGAGCGCGGGCGAAAAAGAGACGGAGAGAGAAAGGCAGAAGCGGCGCCGCCGCCGCCGCTTCTTTTCGCTTGTCTTTCTCGTGGGAGGGCGGAGGAAAGAACATCTCCGTCTCTCTCTCTCTTTCTCTCTCTCTCACACACTCCGCGAGCGTGTAGTTGTGATCTCCCTCCGGTCTCCCCTCTCTCACTCTCTCATCTACGCGCTAGTGGCAGGTAGAGGAGGCGGAGGAGGCGCGCGAAGACACCGAGCGAGCGAGCGCGCGAGGGCGCGCACAACGGCGAGGTAGAGGAGGACGAGAGTGGCGAGTGGCGAGGAAGCGGGAAGCGTCGGCGTCGAGACGCCCGGCGACCGACGGACCGACTACCTGCTGACTACGCGGTGCCGGCCCGATTAAACGCGTGCGCGCGCGCGCGCGGTTTGTCACGTTACGTTGCTGTTGTTGCTGTTGCTGTGTTGTTGCTATTGCTATTGCTGCTGCTGCTGCCGCTAGTGTTGGTGTTGGTGTTGGTGTTGACGTTATTGACACTGGTGATCGGCGGCCGCTCGCGCGTGGGGAAAATGGGAATCGCGGCGAGCCGTCGGGCCGTTTAACCGCAATAGCGTGTGCCGCCTGCTTTGACGGCGGTGGCGACGACGTTCGCAACGACGGCGGCGACGACGGCGGTGACGGTGGTGGTGGCGGCGGCGGCGGTGGCGGCGGTGGTGGTGGCGGTGGCGGTGGCGGTGACGACGACGGGGCCCAACGGTGAGAAACGGTCGGAAAAATGGCGTCCGATAACGAAGCCTCTTGCGCGAGTGACCCAAATTTCGCGGTGATCTGCTCGTTCCTCGGCTGCTTCGGCAAGTCCTGCGGCATCATCTATCCGGACATCGCTCGGCTCCAGGAGATGCTCGAGAACACGCAGGAAGGTGGGTCTCCGCTCCAGTCTCTATCTATATCCATCTCTCTCTTTCTCTCTACGCTTGTGTGTATTACGTGCTCGCGCGCGCGCGGGAGGAAGGGAGGGAGAGAGAAAGAGAGATATACGGCCGTGTTGTATATGCGCGCTAGACAGCGGGGGGGGGAGGAAAGAGATGGAGTATGCAAGGAGGTGCGCGCGGGAGGAAGCGAGAGAGAACGACAGCGACCCGCCCCCGCGAGAGGCCAGTCGTCTAAAGCACGTACTATTAGTTTCCTTCGTACGTCTCCGCTTCGACTGCGAGCCTCGAACTTGTTCGTTCGTTCGTTCGTTCATTCTTTCGTTCGTTAATTCGTTCCGGCAGAGGAGGCAGTCGCTCTCTCGCTTCCTTCGAAGCCAAGAAGAGCAAGAGCGGCGGACAGCGGGACGGGCGGCCGTCACCGCCGCCGCCACCACCGCCGCCGCCTCCGTCGCCGCCGCTTTTTGTTTTGGTGTGTGCGAGAGCGGCTTGGCGCGAGAGATATCGGTATAGGTAACTACCAGGCCGCCTCTCCCCTCTGCGCGTCCCTCCCTCGCGTTCCGCGCGGTTTCGCGCCGACCTGAACGGCCTAATAACACGTTCCTTCCCGCGAGGCGTTCCTATTGACAGATACAGCCGCGAGATACGGGTGGGTTTCACGTTGTTGTTGTTCCGCCGCGTGCTGCCACCTTTCATGTCAGCTTGTCGGTTACACGTGATTACGAGTTTACAAGCGACACGCTACGCTACGGCGTCCGCTCCGATTTCTGGGAAACGTCATTGATTGATCCGTCCTAGGCGCTCGTCTCGGGGAAACCGCCGACGATTGTCCCCTTGACTGTAGAACGCGTAAACAAAGTGATGCCTAGCTTTTTGTCGCTTTATTCGGGTTTCCATTCCCCATTCAAGATTCACGCTTGAATTGTTTTTCTTAAGGACTCTGAACTTGAATTCGGAGAAATCTTTTGGATATTTTCTCATTATTTTGGCTTAAATACATACACTTTAATTACATCCTGGAGATGTGAATAAATATTGTATTATTTCCTAAGGAAGCTTCCGTATAAATTATTCACGACTATACCCAATAAAGACGGCCCAATAAAGTCTTGTAATTCGAGATCTACTGTGTATACATGGGTGTATGTGTGCGCTTGTATTGCATATATGTGATTGTCTCTTTTTTCCTTACAAATTTGTGTTTTTTCTAGTGTCGCGAGAATTAATAGATCTGCACATCAAACTGTTGCGAAAAACGCGTAAATCCGTGTCGCCAGAAAAGTGGGAAAGGGCGCTAGTCAAGTTTTGCCACACGTACTCTAATCAGGATGGATGGGAACTTGAACGCTTCGGTTACAAGAAAGCTCGCATTGCTGTTAAACTGCGTTTACTTAAAGTATGAACCATATTGTATTTCTTTTTTCTTGCCCATAGGACAATTAGATAATCTGTAGGACCAAATAGTTGAATCTATCTCATGCCTGAATACTTTTTCTATTTTAGGTATTATTGGAAACACAATTTGACTTAAATCAAAAGTTTAAGAATGAAGTAAACAAATTGGCAGCTGACGAGTTACGTGTGGAACCTTTAGGAAGGGACAAAAGTGGATTAGCGTACTGGTGTCAGCTGGACGAAGAGTGCAACGTAAGAGTTTACAGGGAAGATTTAGACGAAGAGAATTGGGAATTAGTTGCTAAGTAAGTCTTGTCTTCTTATATGTACTAGGATAAATAATAATGCTGAATTATTATTTTGTGTTGCTATTTATTATTATTCTTTATTATCTGTCAATATTGCATTTGTAATAGGGATCGAGAAAGTGTTGTTAATCTCATAAGTACCCTGACAAATGGCGAAATCGGGGCTATACCAATTAACGAGGATAGCAACAGCTTAGAAATCTCTGAGAAACCTATAATTGACACTGGACAAGTAACAACGTCTCCAAGCTTAGAGGACGAAGTTGTGCAAGAAAACGGCGTTCACGTCGACGAGATGAAGCAGCTACCAAACGGTAGAAGCGATGAGTTTGAGGATGAAGGAGAACATGATCAAGATCAAGTTCAGAATGATATCATTAACGAAGCTGACAGAGAAGAAGCTGATATTGACGAAGAAGATATTGACGCGGAAGAGGACGATACGACGAATGATGACAGTTCCAAGCAGATTACGGAGGAAGATGATTCTCAAGAAATGGTGCAAACTCCGAGCATAGAATCAAGGTGTACAAATGATTCGTCTTCATTATCGGCGACTAATTTAAAAACGCTGAACACGAAAGTGGGCGCAACATCGGAAGATGCGAGCCACAGAGAGGCTACTGACGAAACGTCCGCTTCTTTGGCATCAGAAAACAAATCCTCGATAACGTATAAACAGATCGGTGTCACGAGAGCCGACGTTCAAGAACCGGCACCATTAAAATCTATAGAAACGCCTGTTATTACTTCATCTCCACTGAAACTGGTGAATATTGTAGACTTGAAGCACCAGCCGGAAGAAAAGTTAGTAAGTCCGACGTCTGTTATCGCATCTTTAAATGCGGCGAAGAAACACGGTGCTCCCGATGAGATGACAGATCCTGTCATAAAATCCCTCGAGAAATTGCCTGTTAAAAACAGTTTATCTTTCTCGTCTATGGATTCCATTTCTGTGGGACACAGTAAACTATCTGTCAAACCAATCGATCAATTGGCTGCGAATCTTGTAAGGATACAGTCGGAGAAATTGGAGAAACCAAGCGGACCGAAATCGCTGGAAAAGATAGCAGAATCTTTAGCAAGATCCAGTGGTATGCTGGGAACTATGGTAAACGGAGAAGATGATAGGCTGCCGCAAGACTTTTGCGCGAGAAATCAATCCGAAAAGTCGGCGACGCACAGGGGTCACAGAGGCATAGACTTGTCGACGTCACCGCGTGGTTGGGAAAACGCAAACGAGCAAAACAGACCGGTGGATTTCTCTGGAATCGATCTTTCTAGTCGAAAATTGGGAAAAACAATGGACTTACCTTCTCCGGGCTATAGGACGCAAGATTTCCAGCACCGAGAAATGGATCTGAGTACGAAGAAGGTGAGCAAACCGGAAATGTCGAATCTGCCATACGATACGCGCAACATGATGTTACGTAATCATATGATGATGGCTGATTTGAGCAAGAGACAGCTACCGTTCTCCGCGTACGAAGCTCCGTATCATAATACAGCTAGATTACCTGCCAAGGACGAGCACCGATTGCCAAGCTATACGATACTTTCCGATCCCAGCAAGATCACGACGCTAAGGATGAACAACGCACCACTGAAACGTCCCCTAGAGGATGACGATATGCAGCAAGATATGCTGAAGAGGATAAAGGCGGATGTAATTCCAATCAGAGGTTCTATGGACAAGAGACCGATGATGAGCGGCAACTGGAGAGACGAGGTGAGCGAGGCTATCGAGGAGCCTATAATGATGGTTCAAGGCGAGGGATCTGGCAGCGACTGCGACGCAGTGAATCCCATTGTCGGAGAGGCTATAGAGGAACCGACGGCTTTTTTCTATGGTGAGGGTTCCGGCGCGGAGTGTGAAACGGGTAACCCCGGCGACGACGCGCCCACTGACAATAAAGAAAGCAACGAATCAAAAACTGAACCTGACTCAGCTACCATGGCATTATCGCAGAATAAGGTTTTAACCGAGGACGAGGTATCCACGGGTTCGATACTGTCGAACAAAACCCCTGTAAAATTAAATAGAAACTTTCCGCAGTCTAATGTAAGCGTAAACGATAATTATCAAATAGTAGATTCTATGCAAGAGAAGCCAAAGTTTAAGCACACGTTAGGCGTCCAGATAATACCTAAAAGTACAACTGGTTCTGTCAAAAGGTTATCCAGGTGGGACGTAGGGAAACCGGAAGAGAAAGGAGAATGTGACAGCAGTATCATATCAAACGAAGGAGACATATCACTGAAGAAAAGTACAGATGATCACGAACGCGACAAAGTGGAAGAGAAGAAACTGCTCAGCGCGGATGCTGAATCGGCCAAAACTGGATACGAGAATTCCGCCGATGTGGATCAAGGCGCCAAGGTAGATGACCCCGTAAACGCGGACAGTGAAACCATTGAAGATAGCGTTAAATTACAAGTGTCCGACGTCAGTTCGGAAAATACAAGTACAATGAAACAGGAAAGGGATTCTAAATTTCAAGAGCCCGTGCAGTGTGACTCGTCGATATCGTCGTGTCAAGCGGACACTTTGCAAGAACTCGAATCATGTACAGATCCTGAACCTACGACGGATTCAACCAATGCACAAAGCTTATCCGATTCGAGTAAAATGGTTTCACGCGAACCGGATATCCCCGAAATAACGAATAACGAATGCAAATCAGCAGCCGAATCTCCGCCGAGATTTTTTTTTGGTCCCAATTGCATCTCGTATACTTCGAAATCCGATGAAATGGGATCTCAGATGGAGCAAAGCCTGACTACATCTGTTCACGATAAAACGGATACTGTGCAATATGAATGCGTGTCTTCGTCAAAATCAGCGGATGATACGGTTTATTCGTACAAGACGGAAGACTTTGATTTGACGCAGACAAACAATAATTCGTTGAAATCAGATCTGTTTACTTCAGAATCCGACAGCATTTTATGCGGAAATAATAGCAAAGACGTAGAAAAAGTTGAAGCACCAAGTAATACATGGGATCAAACTTCGGAGGAAAAAACTTCGACGCCTAATAGCTCGATAGATCCAAGTAGTGCGTCCGAGTACAATAATGCTAATTTATCTCTCCCGCAAGTTCAAGTAGAGGCAAGTGAGGAATCAAGTATGCAAGAATCTGTTTGTGCTGATAAAGAAATGAAAGAAGATGACTGTTCAAAATTGCGTACAAGCCCTACGTCAGAGATGATAACTGAAAATGAAAGTATTAATGAAAGTATGACTGAAGAAGATTCAATTAAAATCAGTTCGAACAGCGAGCCCAATATTCAACCAGCAGAATGTGGAATTGTTGGACCATCGCAATGCGAAACTACAGATTCTGGAAATTTTGTAGGTACAGAGACTCAAGAAGATTCTTTTAAAGGCTCGGGTGATGTTACGTCGCAGTTATTGGATGATGAAGAGGATAGAGATGAAAAAACACTAATCGATGACTCTAAGAATGAGAACGACTATCAATCGGATAATACAAACATCTTCAAGGAAGAGCAAAACAGAATTGAATCCGAGGCAACGGCACATTCATCTTTATCGTCACTTACGCAAAATTCGCAAACAGAGCTGGCCGATCTCAGGGAATTTGAGGACGTTAATAATTTGAACGAGCCATTAGATTCTACGAATGCAGTGGATGCTGCAAATGATCAGGAAGCAAACAGGCTCGAAAAAACCGATTTGGATTCTATCGGAGAAAGTTGTGACAAGCAGAGTGATAAGAATGACAATTTTTCCGAAATTGATGGTCAGGAGGATCATTCAACCGACACGGACAACGAGAAGATGAAAGGTCTGGCCGGTTCTGATGCCGATTCTTTGTGCGTTAACTACGACAAGAACAGCGAGAGAACTGATGCGTTATCGGACATAGGAACCCAGGACGACGGATCAGGTGATTCTGAAGAAATTAAAGACAAAGGATTGAATGATGTGCAAGTTAACGATACTGTATTTAATATAAATTCCGAAACACATCTTCCTGAAAATTCTGTAGTGACTAGTTCGGAGTCTGTTCGAGAAAGTGATAAACACGATGTAGTTCCTACTATAAGCAGTTCAGACGATACCTCCGTACAAGACTCTTCATCTCAGGAGAGTGAACCTGTGCGAATAGATGATGAAAAAGTAGAAAATACTTCGTCTGATACTGATAAGCCTTCTACGTTCAACATTTCGCCTGCAACGGTGCCTGAAACGAATATCTTCGAACTGTCCAAGTCCGATATTGTCGAAACTGTGAAAGAAATGAGCTCGTCTAACTTAGTCCAATCTACAAGCGAATACGCCGATAATGCTTCTGAAAATCCCAGTTCTTGCATTGATCAAGATTCGAATGGTGAGATGGTTATAGATGATCGTATGTCTGAGTCGAATGAATCATTTAAAGAAATTGAGGAAACTCCGACAATGAATGACGAACAACCAGAAAATACAACGTCAAAAGATGCAACGCAAGAAGTATCAACAGAACTCGAGAAAGAAGCTCCAGTCCTTTCGAGTATTGAACGTGAGCCGTGTCAGTCCGAAATTGACTTATCAGTGACGGAAACTGAAATCTTAGAGAAAGAGAAATCTGAAGTTGATGCAGAGAGCAAAACAGATAACGATCTTAAAGAGTTCACGGCAAAAGACGAGAGTGAAACTTGTAACACCGATGAACAAGATGCGACGGTAACGGAAGATGCCTGCAAAATTAATAGAAGTGAAGAAGCTGCCGAAAATTCAGCAATTGTGGAAAAATCAGAGACAGATACAACAACTGTAACTACTGAACAATCGGAGACAAATGCTGCAGATGTAATTTCTCAGGAATCACAAGTGAATATAGCGGATGTTAACAAACAGTCACTAGTTGCGAATTATGATAGCGATTCCAATGATAATGGTAATGATGATGTTTCCGAATCTGTGCAAATAAGCGATTCTAAGGATCGTGCTGTCACCCCGATAGAGCAAGAAATAAATGATGAGCAAGGAACGAATAAAGAGCAGTATGAAAAATCACTTGTCAAAGAAGAAGACATCGACAGCATGAATTTAATTTCTGATGTGCCTCAAGAACCAGCGTCCGCCGAGCAACAATTAGAATCTTTAGAAACGAAAGTTGATGAAGTATTAAATCAAGATACAACTACAATCATACAGCAAGACAGTAAAATTAGAGATCAAGATACAACTACAGTCATAGAGCAAGACAGTAAAATTAAAGATCAAGAGAGTGTTGATGAAATGCAAGTTAAATCTGTTTGCAATAACATTGAATATCGTTCGAATGATCAGTTGACATCGTCTGTAAATAAGGGTGAACTAGAAGAAGAAACATATATTCACGATATTTCTGCTGCTGATAATTCTAAAATTTCAGAAATATCAGATGTAACGAAGCTCACAGTAGTTCCGATCATAACTGAAGAGATAACTGAATCTCTTCAGAGCAAGAGTTTAGAGATGACTATCGATCATAGCGAGAAAAATAAGGAGTATCTCAATAATTCGATTGATAATATGACGACAGTACAGGACATTCGAGATGCTATTGAGACGACGGAAAAAGCAGATCGTTTAACACCGGAAAATGCTATTGAGACGGAAAAAGCAGATTGTTTAACATCTGAAAATGTTCGCGATTTCAGCGAAAGTGACGCAAATAAAACCGCAAAAGTTTCGTTCACTCGAGAAAGCACGGAATTTAATACTACGGACAATCAGGTGACCGGCGTGTTCCATATAACAGAGCAAACGAAAAATGTGGACGAGAAATTGAATGTCAGTTTGGATACCGAGAATATTGCAAAGTCAAAAAATATAAACGAACTTATTACCGAGGAACTGCCTATTCCGTGTAAAAGATTCAAAGAAGATCTCACCGATTGTAGTAATCAAGACAATAAATGGGATGTGAAATCGCAAGAAGAGTGTTTAACTGAACCGTTCACGGAAGAGACGAATTTACCACCGATTCAAACAAAATCTGATATAGCGCCAACGAAACTGGATAATACTTTAGATGCGGATAAATCACACACGTGGAAAACTGAGGGCGCGAGTTTAGGGAGTGTGTCTTCGGAAGCTTTGTATTATTCGAATTCGACGGTCACGAAGATGGACAATGTTAATAACTTGGACAGTTGCAACAATCAAAATGAGCCTTTTAGTATAGACGTGAATGTAAATAAAATTACGGAAAACTTTGATAAGAATGCGCCTTCAGATGCGAATAATGAATCGACGGCATTTCCCGCTCAGGAGATTATTTCAGAAATCGATACTGTAAAATCTGATCCAAAGAAAGAAGCCAGCAAGAGGCTGATCGATGCCTCGGATATAGAGGATGTTCCTCCGTTAAAGTCTAAACCTCCGTACTTGGAAACCAATGACAAGACGCTGGAAAATTTAGCAGACTCCGATGTACAGATGCCTAAGATTTCAGATATATCCTACGAGGTCAAAAAATTAAAGCCACAAATCGAGGATGAAACGAGAGCACCAACGATCTCTACAACGCAATTGTTTCAAAACGATTTCGGTACGGTAAACGATTCCGCGGCTGTCGCACCGACTGAGGATCCGAAGAAGGTCGATTTAGAATTTACAGAGATAAACGAGCCTGCGGAAATCCAGGATATCGAGATGAAAAGTATTGCTTCTGACGATTCAACAGGCGTGGACAATGAAGATGTTTTTGAGGTACCACAGGAAGAGGTAGATCCCTTGGCGTGTACCGACGACGATGCTTTAAGGAATATCACTGAGGACGCGTCTGACACTTCCAAGATAAGTATTCGCGTAAGGCCGGCAACCGATTTGGTTTATGAGGGCTGGAAATTGGACAGCACTGCAGAAACGCCGAAGGTCTCGCGAAAACGGCGAAACAGCGCTCATGAATCGAATTCCGAGGACGGGGCTGCGAAGCAAGAAGACGAAGAAATGACTGGTAGCAAGAGGATGAAATTACGCGCAAAACGTATACCTGATAAGGAGTTACGAAAGTCCATCGAGGAAAGTCGTGTGGTGGTGGTGAGCTCTGAGGATGAGGCTGTGAAATGTGATCCCGACAATGCAACGGAGCACGCTACTAAAGACGACAATGATCCGAACGTGATGCAAGCGATGGCGATCGACAAAAAGATCAGAGGTCGTCCTAGGGGTAGACGGAGGCGTGGTTTCCGGGGTGGCGGGCGTCCCAATCGGCCGAAGCTCACGGACACACACGGTGATCAGACGTCGCCTGGTGCTCATCCTGATGGAACGTCTAACGATGCTTTAAATGCAACGCAGAAGAAACGGAAAAAACGTAAGTACATACGTATAGTGATCGTTTATGAGTGATATGCAACGTTAGTGAGAGTCTGTTGATTGAAAAAACATTTTTTTTTTTAATAGGAAAAATGGTCTTGGGCTTAGAAATAGGCAGAGATATCTCGCTGGAGACGGAAACACCAGTCACAGCACAGGATGAGACGCCTGTCAGGCAATCAAGAAGAATAGCACAGTTGAAAATAAAAGAGCAAGCGGACAGGCGCAGAATCGAGGAGGAAACTATGCGTGAGATAGAAGACAAGAAGGATTCAGAGAAGAAAAAGAGAAAAAAGCAGAAGGTACGTAATTAAATGTTGTTTTATGTTAAACGCACGAAAGATTGTAACCAGTAGTTTACATAAATAATTATTTGTGTCGCGTAGCCGGAAAGCGAGGAGGAGGAAGAAGTTGTCATAAAGGAAATTGAAAAGGAGAAAAAGTCCAAGAAGAAACGTCGAAAGAGGAAGAAAAAGAAGATGCTGGCCAAATTTAACGAGGCGAACCCATGGCAGAGCTCATCTGGGTCTAGTAGTGACGAAGAGAACGAGAATGAAGACGAGGAAGAGGAAGATATTGAGAGCGAGGGATCGTTGCTGTTTAAAAGTGATCATGAATTTTCTCCGGAAAGCGATCTCGAGAAGGATCAAGAATCTGAACCATTAAGACGTGCTAGAACAGCTCAAAAAGGTAAAAAAAGAAACTTTTTTGCTAAAGAGAAATTTAATGGGACTTTTATTCCATTATTCTATTATATCTATCTTTTATTAGCCCAAAGCGATGTTGAGGAAGCCGAGGATGAATATGCCTGTCAGAAATGTGGCAAGGCTGATCATCCTGAATGGATTCTTCTATGCGATTCTTGTGATAAGGGCTGGCATTGTTCGTGCCTCAGACCAGCTCTTATGCTTATACCCGAGGGCGACTGGTTTTGCCCACCGTGTCAACATGTATGTTTATTCTTTTTTTGTACAATTATTTTGTAAATTGTCCGCATCTAAATATTGCACACTTTCCGCATGGTTCTATAATGTTGTATGTGTACACGTACTTATAAAATTATATATTTATCTTTTCAGACTTTATTGGTGACCAAATTTCAAGAGACCCTAAAAACACTGGATCAGTTAACAAAAAGACACGAGAATGAAGTATTGCGGAAGAAGCGATTGGCTTTTGTTGGCATAAGTTTGGATAATGTACTTCATAAAGGCGAAGAGCAACGTGGATCAAAAGGATCGCAAGCGTCCAGTCAAGAATCAGACAACGGTGAATGTCGTGTATTTTATATTGCGGTTTATTTACGTCCTTTTTAAATAACAATGACCCTGTATTAATTAATATAATAATCGTGTAACGTTATAGTACACGCGATAATTAATCTGTTTCTACAGAATCTTCAGACTCTTCTTCATCGGCCTCTAGTTCCGAAACATCGAGTAGCGAAGACAGCGACGTGCCAGTTTATCAATTACGAGAACGTCGGTGCGCCAACACTTACAAGTTTAATGAATATGATGACATGATTAACGCCGCGATCCAGGATGAAGTTGAGGCAGTTCAAGGTGCCGGCAATCAGGGAAGGGGCAAAGACATTGCAACGATAGTCAACGCGGAAAAAGAAGAGGCACAGGTAGATGGAAATAATTAAATATATATGTAAAGTACGAGAATGTAATACATATCATCAGATATAATATGTTACATTTCTTTGTTTTGCAGGCTGAAGCGTTAAAGATGACGCAACTAGAAGAGGACAAGGACGAAGTGGAATCAAAGCCGGAAAAAGAAAGTGACGAAGAATATAAGATTGAGACTGAAGATGTGATTGACGAAATAGAAGAGGAACAAAATACGGTTGCTAGGAAATTGCTAGCACGTAAGAAACATCGGAAGCTGAACAGTCTCGATATAAGTAGTGAAGACGACCCGGATAGTGATGAAGATTTCAAGGGTACAAGCTCTGAAGATGAGGAAGATTTTGATGATCATATGTCATCATCCGATGACAGCAGTTTTGATGTTAAACGACGTGGTAGAAAAGGCGATTCACGTCCTGTTAGAAGATCTACCAGAGCGCGCATGACTAGGGCTTACGATAATGATTTTAGTAAGTTTTAGCAATGAACGAGAGATTAGTTGGTTCCACTTTTTAATATCTCTATGTCTTCTACGTATTTATTAGTTTATTGATCTTAAAACGGATTACAATCATTTTTATATATTTTTTTCAAAACTTTTAATTCTTTAATCAGTCACTTATAAACTGACGTATAAAAGATGATAGTCGGGATCGAATCCAGGGCCTCCCTACAAACTGACTACTTTTACATGAAGATTAGACGTTTGATTACAAACGTCATCCCGATGTATTCTATACAAATCTTCTATATCTTGTACAAATTTTACTAAAATAATTGTTAAACTTTTATCTGAAGATTTTTAATTGTCTCAAACAGATTATCATTTAATTTATCCATTTAATTGACAGGATTATTAAAATTAATCACAAAATTTTTTAAATAATGTGATTTATATTATCTAAGTTATTTGAGAGTTATTTATACTCTAATCTCAATAATAAAATATTTGATCACAATTTTTAAATAAACCTTAATGTTTCTAAATAAATGTTCTTTCAGTTGATGATGACAGTGATGAGAGTGATCGGCCAAAGAGAAAGAAGTCACGATCCATGTGGGGAGATTCGGATAGCGAAGACAGCGACAACTCATGGAGGCAAAGAAAGAAAAAGTACGAAATGTGTAATATTAAAGATAACATATTCAAAATTGTAGAGAAAAATGTTTATAATATTTTTATAATTGTTGTAGAAGCAGAACAATACCAACATCCAGAGTTAGAATAGTACCCAAAACGAAGGGTAAGAAGAAAAAAAAGAGAAAACGTATAATAGAATCTGACAATCAGAGTGAGAATGACGAAGACGATGAGCCGAAAGTTGAACAACAAAGTGAACCTAATTTACAAGACTTCAACACCACTCTAAATGAGATGGTGGACGATAATAAACAGGAAAATTTTGAAACTGCTCCAGCTGAAGACAACGTTGAAATAAAAGATGAAAGATTACAAGAAGCAGCAGCTTCAGATGTTCCGATTCCACAGATCCAACCACAACCGTCAGAAGTAGTACCGATCCAGAAAGTAAAAAAGGCAAGTATATTTTAATTAATTACTGTAACCATCACAATGACACTACAGTCCAAGTCAGACTCGGACCTTCCCCAATTTGAGGTTCCAAGACAAGATTCGTTTTTTGAGAGTAGATTGTCAAACTACTGTTTAACCCCCAACCTGGAGGGCCGGTTCTCTCTCCAGATATAGAAAGATTCTCGTGTATAGTAAGATACTCTCAGTGGGTTGTTACTTTCTGAGAGCTGACGATCGAATAAAAACCGATTTTTGGTCGAATTTGAACTTGGATCTTCGATTCGTTATAGCAGCGCACATTTTTCTGTGCCACGATCGTCACTAATTACTGTAACAGAAGATTTAATATTGAATATTATTTTTTCAGGACATTGTGCCTAAACCAAAAAAGGCTCCTGGTATTAGACGAAAGGTATATACATTTCTTATCCTTATTTAATGACTAATTATGAATGTTTTATTTTCAAACAATAGTAGTTTCATTAAATTTTATTTTTTACAGATTATTTATGGCGGACTTCCAGATGAAAATAGACAAGAGGAAGAAGAAATATTAGGTAGACGGACTCGAGGACGAAAAATCAATTATCGAGAGGAAATGGCGTCGGATAGCGAGGAGGTGAGTGACTTTAATTTTAACGAAATTACCATGTGTATTTAAATCCTGATTCTTTTATAGGAGCTAAAAAAAGCACTGATGATGAGAAAGACTGGCGAAAGCGAAGATGAGTTTGTGGTGAACGAGGCAGACGATGTAAATGATGATGGGGAAAAGGATTCTGATTCAGGTAACATCACATTTTTATATTTTTTATAGGATTACGAAATTTATCGTACCCAAATAAACCGTGGTGCAATAAGAAATAATTTGTCGTAAAATAAGCCAAAAGTAAATTAAATGAGAACGCATTTAACAAATTTCGAAGAGTATTTTAAGAGTATTGAAAGAGAAGTTTTGTACGAGAAAGCTTTAGTTTATACTTCTAAAATTCGTTTTTCCTACGAGATTATTCTATACTGAATTTATTGTATATAACTTACTAAATACTTTATATAATATACAAATATAAGTAACAATTATTGTATATTTATAGACATTGATTAAATGTTTTAGGAGATGTTTATATTCCTAAGAAGGATGCCTTGAAATTTAAGACCAAGTCACCGAAAGCAAAAAAGTCACGTAATAACAAGAGCCCTGCAGCCAAACGTAAATCGTTATCCGATGACGTACCAAAACAACGGAAAAAACCCGGGCCGAAACCGGGAAGTAAAAACAGAGGACGTAAACAAAAGTTGAGGGATGATCTTGACGGGGACATGATTGGTGGGGTTATGGATAATCCTATTGGTGATATAGCATCTAAAATAGATGAGAATCTTCCAGATAACGTTGGACTGACAGGCACGACCATGTCGGTAGCGAGTTCGTTTACCGGAGACGTTCCCGAGGGTTCGCTGACGGGTCTTGGTGCCGGGGAGCTGGCCGACCTGGACGACGAGCAGCTCGAACAGATGATGGATGAGGAGTACGGACGGCGGCAGCTAGAGCTCGCGGCAATTGAAATAGCGAAGAAGAAGAAAAAGGAGGAGCGAGAAGCTAAGAAGTTAGAGAAAGCACGTTTGAAGGCTCTGGAGATATTGGCAGCGGAGAGCCAGAGAGATCCTAACGCACCCGAGGGAACGGACGGTGAGGCGCCCAAGAAGAAGAAGCGTGGACGTCGCAGCAAGGCCGAGATACTCGCTGAACAGATGCGCAGGGATGGTACGCAGAATCTGGGCATCGCATCGTCAGTTATCAGTGCGGTGGGCACGCCGGATGGCGTGAGTAATATGTCGCACAACATAAGTCCTGCTACTTTATCTACGGGTCTGACGCCGGAAAGTGACAGGAGCATTGAAAGGGGACACATGCCTCTTATGACCGGACAGGACGGACAGCTTTTCAACCCGGATGGCACCCCGATGAAACCGAAACGACGAGGACGTGGCAAAGGCAAGAAGACTCTTGCGTTGGAAGCGGCTAGAGCCGCGGAAGCGGCGGCTAAGGCCGCGGCCGAAGCCGGTTTGATTGCCGGCATGGGTACTGACTCAAATTCAGACATGAAACAGAACGATATACCGAACGTTCTTCCTACTCCAGGTAGCAGTACATCTGGCTCGGCGCCTTCCACACCACCGGCGAGTGCCGTGCCGACACCGGGACCTCCGTCGACGCAGCCGTCGAACTCACAGCCGGTCTATCCAGCGCTACCACCCGGTCAACAGTCTTCCGTCATCACGAGGATGCTTCAGTCCCAACCGGTATCCAGCACTCCACAGTCGTTCACTGCAGCGGCGGCCGCGATGGGTCACAAGTATTTCGGCGGGCCCAACGCTGGCGGGCAGATGATGGGCGGTCCACGAACGGGGTACGAGATACAGCCACGTGCCAGAATCCCGTCTCCTTACAGGCAGGCGGGTCAGTCGTCCATACCACCGCATTTTGCCGCGGTCAGATCGGGGACGCCACCGATGCGTATGCGAGTACCCGGGCCGCAGATGTATCACACGCCACACCATCCGATGGACCCGTCCCCGTCGGGCGGCGGACCGATTTCCATTAGTAATAGAGATCGCAGTTCGCCCTTGACGCCTGGCGGACCGGCGATGATTCCACCGTCGGCCGGCAGTCCACTGGCTAAAGGCGGTCCAACGCCGCCACCACCACCTCCACCATATGTGCGAGGTGGCCCGCCAATGGCTAGGTTTGCCGAAAATCCTATGGGACCTAGGCATCAGATGCCGCCATTTACCAATGCCTCACCCGTAAATCACAGCATGCAGCAACCTTCACCACCCCCTAATCGACCGCCCGGTAATTTCTCACCGTATCATCCGCCTCCTCCTCCTAATTATCACTACGGTGCCTACCCGCCGCCTCCGCCAATGTCCACGGCGGACGACGCAGCTGCCTATCAGAGTTCGCCGTATCCCTCGGAGCATTTCTCCTCGCCGGCAGACAACCAACCACCGATTCAAGGACCGCCACCGCCTCAGGGGCCGCCGCCACAGCAATCGCATCCGAATGACGAAGACCATGGCACCGGCGAATTTGGCGGGCTGGTATCTTACTTCAGTAGCCAGAGAGAGGACGATCTCGAGTCGTAGCATGAGTGAGAGCTTGGCCAACCCTGAATCACATTAGGTAGGGGGAGCGTGCCCAGGTAAGATCGCAACTTTTGCTACAGAGGGAAAAGCGGTAACGCAGATGCGAATAGAGCATGAACTTTTCAGATGATCTTTTCGAGAACATTAGTGCGTGTGTCATGTGAAATATAAAGCTATAGAGTCTTCCTCTTCGACCTCTAAAGCAAACAGTTGTCCTGTAGTCCTTGCACTTCTTATGCCGCCAAAGGCAAATCTAAGGTTGGCCAAGTGTAGAGCGAGCGGAATGATGAAACATAGTGACAGGGCGGAGCCTATTTTCTAAGAGTTGTAAGTTTTTCTGTAATTAGTTTTCGGTTTAAATGGATTTGTATACAATGACGTGCGACCGCAAAAACTCTAATTCTAGTGAGGACATAGCGGTCGTTTCGTCTGGAAGATAACGAGGCGAGAGAGATCTGACCAGAACCATTTTTCACTATTATTCGTTATTATAATCCGCCAATCATGAAAATCAAGCGAAGTTATTTCCGGAAAGTTTTAAGGCGAGAATGGGATACTCATTCTCCGTGAAGTAGTAGGGTGTCCTGTGGAATAAAGAAACGAGAAATTCATCTTTAATAATGAACGAAAAGGAATAAAAATTATCGAGTGGTTTTGAACGACACATCGTTATTAACATGTACATATTGTAAATATCCCGTAAGTCCTTTAGATTATATACTACATGTATTATATATATACACACAACCACGTGCAGTCATGCAAAATACTACAAAAATAAATAAGTGCGGAAAGGGCACAAATGTAATATTTAAATTTAACTCAAAAGAATGACATTTGAATATAATAAATTAACAAATGGTGTGAAAACTATTACTATAATTATTTATAAAGAAAAAGATTAAGAATTTATGATAGGCAGTATATTGTATTTTACAAATTTTACTTGATAATTCTATGAGAAACCATTAAATATAGTTATATTGGAGAACAGGAGGCTGCTTTAAGTGTATCCTATGTGAAAAATAAACAGAATGGATTTTAACAAAACCAGCAGTTAGCGTAATTGGCGATGCATGAGGAAGTTTTTGTTACACCATAGCATGCAATTATTTACATAATCCTATATTTATATGATTTTGATTTATTCAAACTTGTGCAAATTTTTTTATAGTAGGTACACCGTGCGTTTTGTAAACAAAAAAAAATATAAATATATAAAAATTATTTATTATTACATATGAATTATTTGATAATTATATAAGATAATCATAATTTTTTAAAGTAATTTTGATTTAAAATTAGCCTATATTACCCGTGCATATGATGCGTGATTTCTAGGACAAAGCTGTCTCATTCGAACACTACCTAAAGTTTCTTTTTTAATTATCTATCAAGTACCTACACATTGAGTGTCATTGTATATAGTCTACCTGTGTCTGAATTTCGTCCAACGTAAAAATTTATATTCACCGGAGTGAACGGGACGTGGATAGAACAATCGGCCGGTATAAATGTCCGAAGAGTATTTTAAAAAGATTTCTCTTTCTGGATTGATTTGACTAACGTTAGCCTTTTGATTTTAATGTCAATTAACTCATTTTTTTTTAATCTAACAAAAGAAGATACACAACTAGCCGAAATTCATTTGATTCCGTGAAATATTCTTTCGCCCTTTATATCACGCGAGTAATCATATTAGCGCCAAGTGTCAGATATGAATATCGGTCAATCAACCCTCCAGGAGTGTAGGAAGGAAATCGTAATAGGGATGTGTTCTCAGGACAGACGCAATTACACTGGTGGCTGGTGATCACGATACTGGCTTCGCGTTTCGCGAGGTGTAAGTTTGAGTTTTTCGATATTTATGGATGATCATGACAGCCTCCTGCTCTTTGAAGTTAAAGGCCGCTAGTGGCCGCATGCGACGAGAGAAGAAGAGAGATCATGTATCTGTTTAGTTATCACACGTACATGCATACCTAATATAAATAGAAGCTATATGGATAAACAAGAAAAGGATATTACATTATCTTAGGATTAGCTTGCTTGGGAGAGTTTCCTTTACTACGTTGAACGTTTTGCAACCGAATCGAACGGTTATACACATATTATATATACACGTATGAAACACCCACAAGACATGTACACAGACTCTACATGCCGTATAATGTAATAGAGGGGTTTACTACCACTAATTTTATTATTTTTACACCTATTACGATGTATATCGATTGTGCGCAGTTTCGATGTACAATGACTTATCGTCTTCTTCTTTAGGCACAGCATGTCTTTGGGGCCGCCGGTTCTTAGGCTGCGCCTCGAGGAGCTCTATTATGAAAGCGACCGCTTTCTTCCTTTCTTTCTTTAACGTGCAATCGGCAGGAGCGATTTACCTGCGATCTTATACGTTGAGGGGGGGATAGTCGTAGGAATGTATATTTGATTCACATCGGGAAGTTGTACATTCAGCGAGATCCTTCTCTCGACGACAAGCCGCTGCAATATGTGAATCAATTATTAGGATGATCATTTAATGACATTTGAATGATTTAGCGCATTAGCGCTCTGTATTTTTAACTTGAGAAAATTAATCTGAGAGTTGAGAAAGATGTATTAAATTTCTTAATTCCAAAGAAATCCATCGATATCGTTAATGCGCTAAATCGTTCTTTGTGTTCTAAAGCGATATTGTTCAGTGACTGAAGACTTGGTAAAGATCGTCGATGCAGAATATCTTTCTGAGTATGGATACTGAAACGCGTGCATTTAAATCAGAGATATCATACAGATTTTCTAAATCTATATTTTTTGTGCGCAGCGTTGTATGCATTTAACGAGATATTTCTCTAATATTTATATATAAATAAATATTTCAAACATATTACTATACGAAACGGTTGCTAGCTGTCGTATAATTGAGCGATATGAAATGCGACAGAAGCACGAATTTTTTTTTTGTAAAATTTGCATACAAATTTTGGAAGCGTCGACGCGTGGTTTACTTCTCTTTGCCCATATAGGTCTTTCCTCGAGGCGTAAATTAGCGAAGTGGCTCGTTAAGACAATAGTAAACATGGTGCAGTTTAGCTTTTTCTTTTGATAAGGGTCTAGACCAAACGCAATTATATTACATGTTGTAGCCTAAATAAAAGAATTTTGTAATAAAATTCAATATATTGAAATAATATTGTCGAATCTCTACTTTTCTTTCACCTTGCTCTCCATTCCTTCCTTCGGTAGCTCCTTAATATTTTTGTAAAATATAGAGAATAATGAAATCAATTTTTAACAAAAGGACATTTTTCAAATACCTGTAATATTAATTAAGGAATTAAATTTTAACAAAATTTATTGTTTTACGAGCACAAAGTCCAAAATTCAAGATTTAAAATTTAAGCACAAAATTTTGATATCTTTTATACCAAATTATTTTTGAAATTAATTTTGTTTATTAAAATATACAATATCTTTTCGTACAATATATATTTTTAATAAATGTAAGTGTTTGACGTCTTTTTATTTTTTTTCCTTTAATCAGACATTATGATCCTGTACGAATAATATTGATGATTTGTAATACAAATAATGTTTGATTAATAGACTTACGTACGTACAGTGTTCTTTTAGTACAAAAATAATTTTTTAAGATAGCATAAATCGCTATAAGCGTGATAGGCAATCAGAATTTTCAAATTTATTAATTCAAGTTTTTGTTTAACTAATCATAATACAATATTTAAATGCTAAACAAATTAATATTGGGATTTGGGACATATGTACATAATTCGCATGTGTGCGTGCGTGCGCACGCAACTGTATTAGACTTTGAGGATTCCTGAAGCAAATGCTTGTTTTTTGCAGCAGGACTTTTTTGTATTTTTATCTCTTTCCTTCTTTCTTATGCTCTAATATATGTAGGATATCTATTTCATTTTAAATGCAGACGTTATTAAGTGCGTGTGCGTCTAGGGATCTCAAAATGTTTCGTATAAACCTCGTTTAATATTCTCTGAGATGGCGTTGATGCACGAATTTTTCGAATAAGCTTGCGACAAGAATACTAGAATCCCTAACCAATCACAATGCAAAGAAATCATACATCCATACACGCACCGCACGCACGTGTGCGCGCGCGCGCGCACGCACACACACACACACACACATTGATATACGATATGCCCTAATCCAGATATGCATATACACATATACACATGCATATACACATATACACATTCCTTTCACACCACACGCCATTCTGAGAGCGAGTCAAGCGAGTGGCCCATAGACGTATATGTCTGTGGAATGGCCAGGTAGTCTAACCTCGTCTAACCGGCGTGAGGTTCGATAGGAGCACCACACAAATATTGACTATTATCCTTTAGTTGCTGTTTTTTATAATTCTATCCAGCTCGAAACCATGGCATCTTCCACCGATGTTGCTACAGTATGTATTACTAATTCACATTTTGTAAAATGCAAATGTTTCATGTGATACCTAACAATGTAAACAATGTGGAGTAACATCGAGATTTAAATATAAACATTATTCGTTATCAAATGTAACTTTAGGCGTACCTTGATTACCAAAGAAAAATTTATGCTTACGATACTTTGGCATTTGTATCTTCGCCTGTTGAAAGTCGTTGAATTAAAAGTATACGCGATACACGTTGCAAAATAAATACAGTAATGTTACTGTTAGTTGTAACATATATTTTATACTTTTAGAGTTTACGTCATATCTTTATAGCCGTTACGTTCATCAATTTTCCAGATCAGAGCTCAGAGATATTTAAACGAACCGTTGGTGGAGCGATGCAGAGATCTGTCCGTATTGATAGACGAATCGAGCACCACTGAGCTGCAGCTAGTTTTTCCCCTGCTGATAGACTCCTTATTCGGAATAGTAGACAATATCGGGTGGGGCTTGCACAATATTACCCTCAAGAAAAATCCACACGAATATGAGATGCTGTGTCACTTTCTTAGTCCTCAAGGACCAATGTTTTCTTTATGTTATAAACTACTTCCAGACTGTTATCTCAAGTATAACTTTCCAGTGTCCTATCTACCGGTGCGTATAAGAATTAACTTTATGCGCATCAATGTATTGTTTTATATTTTCTATCTTTCAGCTATCGGTAATGATGTATATCGTAATGTTTTTCATTCCAGTCGAAAATACGTTCCATGTTGGAGGAAGCTATGATATCACCATTTTATCTCGATAAAATAAGAGATGATCAAGGGACACGTGTTCCTTCAGCTTTATCTATGAGTATCCTTTACTAAATATTACATAACTACTATATTATTTATCATATGATTTATTAACACTGAATATTTCTTAACACAAACACATATCCCTTTGAGTACTACATATTTCATTTTGCGTATCATTTAACCAATCCCTGGTTACGACTTCAACAGCAAGAAAATGTGTGGATGAATTGGGAAACAGTTTACGTTCAGTTAGCGCATTGTTATCTGTATCATTTTCTTCCGAGAGATAATTCCGCGGTTCTACCAGTGATTGGACCATATGTGAAGAAAACGCCGCCAAGAAAATTGACTCAGTCCCCAGAATTCCGAAGGTACGGAGACATTTGGTGTGTTATAATGAGACGTAGGACGCGTAAATTTAAGTGGCAAATGCGCTCTATTCATATACATATTTCAAATATTTTAAACAGAGATTGTCAGAAATTACAAACTCTGAGACTTCTGCGAGCATCTATATTAACATCGGGATCGATGAGTCCTGGATCAGGCGCGCCGCAGCAGCAACAGTGTTTACCGCAAGTCTGGCGAAGCGAGACTGTAGTACAAGTCTTTCTCGATTTTTGGTTGGAGTATACAGAGGACGCGCAATTAAGTACATCCTATCTGTCTTCGATACCGCGACGAGTAAGTTTTCTGTATGCAATCAAAGAAGCAATGTGTGTTATATGGAAAGATGTGAATAATTTTGTGGGGCAGGAATAACTGTCATCGTTTCAAACGTATTTGATTGTAACTTCTAATTTCAGCACAGTATACATTCCGGAGAACACATACGCCTTGTGAGAGCGTTCATAAAGACTCTGCACGAGTTTACGAATAGCGCTACGGGCGACAAGAGCGCAATGGACGAATTGAAGAGGTATTGAGATGATATTTTACAAATTTTATAACTCTGTCGCCATTGCTCTAAACATTTTTTTTTTGTTTTATTTGTTAGAATAATTCTTCCTTCGGTTCAAGGAAAAATATATACGTTTTTGAGGAAGGCAATATATCATTGGCCTCTAGACAGCTCGTTTAGATTGATACTGGAAGCTTGGCTGAGCTTTATTCAACCATGGAGATATGTACCGGGAGTATCATATACTAAGGAAGGGTATGCGTATGTATTGTGTTATCGTTAATGCCAAAATATTGTCATTGTCTTGGCTAATATTTTCCGTATTTTCAACATTTTCAGTAAAGCAGAGGAAGAAGAAAGAGGCAAGATTCATGATCCTGGTAGATGGATTTCTTTCGTTGCTAATAATCTGTTGGCGTATACGGTTGTGTTCCAGCAGTTGCTTCCGCGATTTATGAGAACTGACCTAGTAGCACCTAAGAATGCATTAATGTTATTCAGAGTTACAAAAGTACGTGCATTTTCCTACGGTTGAATATACTATTTTATATTCAAAGATGTGCTTGTGTATATTTTATACTTATATTTATATAGGTATTTTCACAACCATACTTGGCAAAAATGATATGTGAAGTGGAGAGTTGTATGGATGACGCAGGCTTAAGTAAAGGTCGAATAACTACAAATCAGTGGACATCGATCGTTAGGCAACAGATTGTTGAACTGGAAGGTCCGACCTATCAATACGTCCCTATGTTTTCGACAGCTATCAACCTGCAGGTATTTTTTTATTCTGTAGATTTTTAAGTGTCTATCAATTGCTAGCTTTATTAACGAACGATTACCTTGCATTCCAGGTCGTATGGTTTCTGAGCAATATTAAACAAGCTCATTTAACGGCGACTAGCCTAGTTGAGGCTCTGGAAAACAGAAGAAGGGGAAAGTGCTTTCTACTTTCTCTCTGGGAATTCTTTAGCTGCGAGGAATACTCCTCGGATGATATCAGCATAGAGGAACGACGACGCGTTCCGGTGCTTTTGGCTACCGCTCAACAGCAGTTGATAGATATATTTCAAGTGATTGAATTTCTTTTACATCGATAACGAATCGCGTATCTATCGTCACTTATTTTGAGTAACACGCACAATCGTGATTGTTGCAGATACAGCTCGAAGACATTCCGCAAGTTGCTATAGTGGCGGATCAAGAATATCACGATAGCATTCTGTCGACTTCTTTCTGTCATCAGTCGCAAGTGCGAATTATTGAAATAGGTTTATATTAAAATTCTTCGACCGATTTAAAAGACGCGATTTTTAGATGGAGTCCAGCTTCGACTCGAGCAGACCGGGTACTTTCGTGCCGTTGCAAGAGGGTAGACAGACGTGTCGATATATCGAATACATGGGCGATCCAGAGCTACAGCCGGTACGAACGAACGAGTGCGCTTTTCTCGTTCGACACCTTTACAAGCTATGCTGTTACATCAATCTCAAGGTATTGTGTATAATCACGAAGCTGTTCTTTATTTCGATAACTTGCCATTTATTTGCAGTATCGACACGAGATAATCGCACTGTACAGCAGACGAAGCTTCCTTGGTAGTATTTGTCGGCAACTGATTGCCCCACCTACCACTATTGTAAAATTACCCAAACGAACGTCAAACGGATTTACCAGTGGCTCCGAGGAACGATTGCCGCCTCGATTAAGTTTACGATCTTTAGCCAATTACACCTTCCTCATGAGTATATCATTTGGTATATTGATCGCATGGCTCACCAAGTATGTAATTCCGTGATTTTTTATGATCTGTTGGGAAGTATCTGCGACAAGTCTCGTATTACATTTAGAGTTTTTTTGTTGCAGTTATGGTCCTTTCATGTTCCTGGGATTTATATTTTTTATGTGGATTATGTACATAGTTATACGTGCAACGTTGCAACACTATTTTCCATCTGGCGCAAGTATTTTCAGACCAAGCGCGAGTACATCTTCCATTAGTCGATGATACTTTCGTATTTTAAGATAATGAATTGCATTACTGTAAGCAATTTTGGATGAAACGTTTTTTGTGAACAATGAATAACAATTTTGGATACATATATATTTGTAAGTATATTAAACGATAGAAAATATACTATCGATAACATTTCTGTTTGCAAACCATTACTTTAAGTAATTGCGTTAAGTAATTGCATGAAATTTGTATTTACATTGTAATTATTTATAATCGAAGACCTTCGCCTTTGAAAATGACTCTACAAATTAATTCGTTGAACTATTTTCTAAATTGTTTGTGTGAAAAGTGAATATATCACTCACTTGTGTATACATTCTTATCTTTTATAATTTAATTAAAAACTTGCGTATTACTTGTATTGAGATCTCAAAATCTCGAGTATTCGTAACTCGTGCGTTCGCGTAAAAGAGTCACGGTGCGGTCTCGCTTCGCGTGTACTTGGCGCGAGACTCTTGATATTCAAAAGTTTAAAATTTTTAAACTGGGACTATTTTTAAAACGTGTAAGGAGTAAAAAAAATATATATAGGTATATATATATATATATATATATATATATCATTGATTACGTACAAAAATTATTACCAGTATTACAGGTGAAATTAATTAGATTCCCTCTTTCTCGTGAAAAGGGAAGTTTAATTATAATGTAGATTAAGCTTAATTACTTATATCCATCGTGCAATTCGCGATAAGCGGTAAGCTACGCGATGCGTACGAACCCGTGTTAGCACAGTCTACGATCACCCCGATACTTTAGTGCACATGCAATAACATTAACAATTATTGATTCATCGCCCTGTGTGTTACCTGTGTGTATCGGGGATAGTAGAAGCGCGAGAACGATCAACGTCGCGATCCACTTCTCCAACGCCAGCACGAAGCTTAATCAACGTGATGCGCACAACGGAAAAATGAGCTCGCGCTCATTAGACAAATTGAATTCGGAAACTTACATCGTCGATCGATGAGGCATCGAGCGCCCGCAAAGAGGATTAACCCTTAAGTCAATATCCGGATACTCACTAAACGTGTTTTTTAGTTTTTAGCGAAAGTACCAAACGTCTTCCGATCCCTATTCTTTGAGTAGTTTTACGAAGGCGAGGAGGAGATTATATATTTAGAATAAAATTTGAATTTAAAGCTTTCAAATACAAAGGTTTTAAACGTCTTACATTTAAAAGCTTTAAATTACATACACGTTTGTTTAATAACTGCAATCCCTGGATACCCAAATGAGAAAACCTGGATTATAAAATATGAATTATAAACAATATGTAGCAAAGAAACATTTTCATAGATTTTAACTTATATATACTAATTTCAGTCAATCGCTGACTTGCTGCGTTAATTTACATCGTTAATTTTTAATATAAAAAAGCACGAATTTTTTCTTTAATGTGAAATTTTAAAAGCTCTTGCAAACATTTTACAGTAAAATCCAAGACTGGAGACGTTTGTATATAAAAGAAATTTTCGAACGATCCTCGACCCTTTAAAGTTCGCGAAATATAAATACAAATAATTAAATCTTGAAAACACAAAATCTCTTTTGACGCGTCTCTCGCTCATGATGGAAACAGAAGGGAAAGACCGACAAGAGACCGATCTTCGCACAAAAATGAAAGCCTGCAGATCGCCATTTTCGAAACGAGGAAAGAGACTTAATTTTCTATTTAAATGAATATCCACCGATCCCATTCGCCTGATTAGCCTTCCTCGCGTGTAACGGTGTCAAATGCGATCGTGATTATTTCTGTTTGTAAATATTTGTCTGCCGCCCACGCTCGCGGAGAAGCGTAATCATTACTTTAAAGGAGAGGAGGGCGGAGGGTAGCGTGTGGTGTATTAATTTATTAAGTTTTGCGTCACGCGCGCGCGGCTTGTAATAAAAGTAAAGCACACCGGCGAAGTCAGCGAGTCGCACGACACCCGCGCGGACGGGGGGCGGGCTTTTTTAATTGGATCCCGTTAAATATCGCGCGTCGCGCCGCGCTTTCCGCGCACGCCTTCGCGACCCCGTTGCGCGTCGCGTCGCGCCTCCTCGCCTTCTGCTCCCTGTTGTTACCGCGATGAAGAAAAACGGCCGGTCTTTTATTACTTCCGCGAGTAAATAAGGCTCGCGTTACGCGCCGCACGCTCCTCGCGCCGGTCGCGCGCCTCGTTAAAATCTCGACGCGCATTTTTACGAACCGCACATAAATTCGGCGCGCGCCCACAAATTCGAGCACGCTTTTGCTTTACGCGATTCTTTAAAGCTCGCTTTTTTCTTCATTATCTCGGTCCTTGATTCGATTCGCAGCGAAGCAATATCCAGATGTATTTAGCGTCGTTTGTGATGTTGGGAATCATCAACCGTTCTCGCGCGCGCGTGTTATTAATGCCCGCGGGCGTAAGAATATTAAGTAAAATGGTATATAATCTCGTGGAACCCCCGAAAATAATTATCTCGAAGGTCAAGGTTGGTTGTACAAATTTCGATCGTTCTCTTCTGACGATATAAGAGTTAAAATGGTACTCCATATGATAATTGCAGTGATTTTATTAACATTAGCGATAGTAAATTATCTTCTTACATCAATCCATCCACGAGATAAGCTTACGCGTGCCTTTTTATAAATTTTTAAACGGGATGAAAAAGGAATAATTTATTTTTCTTAATGTTATACATTACATATATAAATATCGTATAAAATAGATTATATTCTTTAAATTGATTATGATAAGTGCATATTAAATATATGCAAGCAGACTTATAGATTCTGGCATTTAATCATTGTGTAGGATAATTTTTCTATTTATTCTCAATCTGAAATAGCATCAGAAGAAACATCGAAATGTCGCGCGAAAGCATTTACAAAAACTAATGAAAGGAAAATCATGCCAAAGAGCTTTTTTAACTTTAAGCCGAAATCTATTATTTTATTTTTTCACCGAATACTACATATATTCTTATTTCATCTGACTTTTCCCGCAGCGTACATCGACATTTGCCGATGTGGATCCGACAGTCAAAGGCACGGCACTGGATTTAAGCCCACCTTCCGGCGCGATGCATTAGTCGTATTAAACCATTAGATACCCGGTGGTATGTTCCAGGGTGTGTTTACATGGTCGGTGTAACACGAACACGACCCATTTTCGATTTAAATCGAGATCGCCGGCGCGCGGCGCGCTCGTATCCGAGAGCCCCGGCCGCTCGGCGCTCGTTCGCGCGCCGCGCAATTATAGAGATCCTTTATGCAATGTCAACCGCTCCGTTATGCGCCAGTTACGGACAATGAGTACGTACGAATTACCACGAATGGACTCGTTCACCATTCGTTAAAGCCTGCCTCGCCGAGCCGCGACTTCCGTCCGCTGCTTTCTCGAGCGCGCGGCCGCATCCCTTTTTTTGCACGAGATTAGTCATCAATAAATAATCCCCTGACGAATGACCGCGAGTTGTACTCTCGCGTGAACGGATCGAGGGGATGCAGAAGCAAAATGTTCTCCACTTTAACA